TCTACTGTTGTTTCCCTGTAAATTATAATTTATTTCTATTAGTGAATCCTTCATTTTTGAGTGGATCTTTTTTATGCTCTTAAGGTCCTCACTAAGTTCCTTGAGCATTTTTATAACCAGTTGTTTGAACTCTGCATATGATAAATTGGTTATCTCTATTTTGCTTAGATCTTTTTCTAGAGTTTTGACCTGTTTTTTCATTTGGGTCCTATTTCTTTGTCTCCTCATTTTGGTAGCCTCCCTGTGTTTGTTTCTATGTATTAGGTAGAGTTGTTATGACTCCATGTCTTGGTAGCATGGCCTAATGTAATAGGTGTTCTTTAGGGTCCTGTGGCACATCACAGCCTCCCCTATCACCCAAGCTGGGTACTCGAGCTGCGCCCTTCATGTGGGCTGAGTATACCCTCCTTTTGTAGTCGAGCATTGATTGCTGTTGGCAGGTCAATGGAAGGGATTTACCCAGGCCATGCACAGCTTCAGGTACTGGCTTTTGCTACTGACCACCAACCCCCATGGAGGACCAGCTGTGGTTTGTAGTTTTCCATTGGGTGTACTGGCCCTGGGGTTTCCTGGGTGGTGTGGACCAAGGTCAGTCCCCACCTGTGTTTTCCCCGGGGCCACCCTGCCTGAGCTATAGAGCAATCTGAGATGGCTACTTGTACTGGACTTGGAAATTCCTAGGCAAAGGCAAACTATGAATTTAGGCTGGCTGCTGCTAGTGCCATACCTGGGGCCACTTTGCAAGAGGTACAGGGGTTGGGGGCTCACTGAGGCTAGTTGTTACTTGTTTGAGAGGATTTAGGAAGTTGTGAAACATGAGCCAAGATCAACCATTCATACGGAAGTCTCTGCTATCTGCTTGGGTGAGCCTATAAATTGGGTGGGATGGAGTCTCAGGGTGTCTCCAGGGCAGGGCAAACAGTGTTAGCTAGGTTGATGGAGTCTCAGATATGGTATCCCACCTGCCGACTCTGTGGCTCTGTTGGTGGTAGTGTTCAGAAAAGGGACAGTGGCCTTTCTATCTGGAAGGAAACTGTTCCCCAGCTCTCGCTTTGATGCCAGACCCTTCCTCCCTATATGCTAGTGGTAACTTTTAAGCTGTTACCCAGGTGCTGGAGCTGAGAGGAAGTGAGTAGGTGAGTCTGTGTGTGGGTTCTTTAAGAGGAACTGCTTGGGACTCTAGAAGTTTCTTCTGCAGACTGTCCTCACTGGTTTTTGCAGCCAGAAGTTATGGGGATTTATCTTCCTGTTCTGGTGTGGGGCTGCCACTCCTTGCTCCTGAGATATCCCTCCTGAATTTTTATCCACCATATGTGGCTGTGGGACCAGCCCATTCTGCATCTCCACCCCTCCTACCAATCTGGATGGATGTGGTTTCTTTAATTCCATAGTTGTCAGACTTCCATTCAACTCGATTTCTGATGATTCTGAGTGATGGTTGTTCTATAATTTAGTTGCAATTTTGATGTGGTTGTGCAAGGAGGCGAGCTGTGTTTACCTATGCTGACACCTTGACTAGAAGTCATCATTATTTATTTAATCAATTTTGACTTGTAAAAATATATTCACTGACTTCTAAAATTATTACAAAATATTGTTCAACAGAAGAAAACTTGTTAAACTGCGTATTTATTTAATTTCCTCCCTTTTCAATGAGGCACATTTCCATGTAGCGAAGAACAGCTCGATAATTTGTACCTATCTATGTAGTATACCCACAATCATCACCCCAATCAAGAGAGATAATATTTACAGCACCCCAAAAAAGCTACCTTTGACCATTCCCAACCAATTCCCCTGGTAACTACTGTCCTGACTTCTATCACCTCTAGACTAGTTTTGCACTTCACACAAAAGGGACCACACATTCCTGAGTCTGGCTTTTTTTAATACATTAGAACATCTCTGAGATTCATTCGTGCTATTTTGTGTAGCAGTAGTTTGTTGGTTTTCATTGCTATATAGTATTCCATTTTAATGAATACATCATTGTTTGTTTGTTTATCCACTCACCTGTTGCTGAATACTTGTTTGTTTATCCACTCACCTGTTGCTGAATACTTGGATTGTTTCTAAATTTTGGTTATTCTGAATAAAGCTGTTCTAACCAGTCTTTTGTTGAACACATAAGCATTCATGTGTCTTGGATACTTACCCGAGAATGGAATGGCTTATCTGAGCAGGCCAAGGTTGCTATAAGCTTAGCTTTTGAAAATATTACCAAGCAGTTTTCCAATGTAATTGTGCCAATTTAAAGCTCCCATTATAGAAAAGTTTTGTTTGTTCATCCTCAATAATACTGAATATTGTCCATCCTTGTACACTCCTATCATTTTGAATACCGCCTGTGTGAAGATCTTCTATGTATCTCTATCTCTAATACAGTGCTCCCCGCGATGCAACTAGTGTATCCGATCACCAGTATGACATCTCTCCTTGGATGTTTTGACAGAACCTACAAGATAACAGGTCAATGCAGAACTCTCAAATCCTCTTTCCTCTCAAAGGGTTCCTTTCCCTGACTTCTTCCTCCCTATTATTTACTCAGCTGCTCCAGCTTAAAACCTATAATTTTCCCTTTTTCTCATTTCCACATCTAATCCTTCAGCAAAGCTGTAAAGCTGAAAGATGTAATATTTCTATATTACATCTACAATCTGTCTATTTCTTCCCATCTTCACCACCATTCCCACAATGCAAAACACCATTATTTTTGACTGCTGAGCAGCCAAGGGGATATTTCTAAAAAATAAACCAGTCATGTTACCTCCTCGCTTGATGCCCTCTAGTTGCTCCCTAGCTCTCTGATATAAAATCTTAACTTCTTACCTTGACCTGAAAGGCTGTGAATATTCTGGCCCCTACCCATCTCTCTGATCTCACCTCCTCCCTGGGGACTGACCGCATTCCATCCTCTTTTTAAAAAAAATCCTCACCCAAGGACATGCTCACTAAATTTAGGGGAAGGGGAAGAGAGGGAGAGAGAGGGAGAGAAACATGGATGTGAGAGAGAAATATTGATTAGTTGTCTCTCACATGTGCCTTAACCAGGGACCAACCCACAACCTAGGCACGTGCCCTGACCAGGGATTGAACCTATGACCTTTTGGTTTGTGGGATGATGTTCCAACCAAGTGAGCCACACTGGCCAGGGCCCAGCTCAGGCACTTTTCTTAAATACATTAGGCTTATTGTCACCTCAGGATCTTCACATTTGCTGTTCCCTCTGTATGGGAAGCTCTTCCTTCAAATCTTTGCCCAGCTGCCTCTTTTTCATTTGTTTGGGTCTTAGCCCAAATGTCTCTTCCTCAAAAAAAGGCCTCCCTGACCACCTTGGCTAAAGTTGACCCTCCACACCCAGGTACTCTCTATTCTCTTATTCTCTTTTGTTTTCTGTATAGATCTTAATTTTCCTTATCTACTTACTTACTTTTTTCTCTTTCTTTCTTTCTTTCTTTTCTTTTTTTCTTTTTTCTTTTCTTTTGAGTGAGAGAGGGGAAGGGAAAGAGAAAGAAAGGGAGAGAAACACTGATGTGGAGAGAAACATGGTTCGGTTGCCTCTCATGTGCCCTCAACCGGGGACATGGCCTGCTACCCAGGCACATACCCTGACAGGGAATCCAACCAGCAACCTTTCGGTTTATGGGATGATGCCCACCCCACTGAGCTACACCAGTCAGGGCTAGTCACTTACTTTCTTAATGTTCATGTCTTCCTGTAGAATCTAAGGTCCCAAGGGGCAGGGATTGCGTGTGTCTAGTTCCCTGCTGTGTCCCTACTATCCAGAACTACACTGTCCAATATGGTAGCCACTAGCCACAGGTGGCTATTTAAATGTAAATTAATTAAAAGTAGAGTTAAAAATTCAGTTCTTTAGTCTCACTAGTCACATTTCAAGTGTTCAAAGGCCACCTGTTGTTAGTGGCTACCATAGTGGATAGGGTAGATGTAGAAAATTCCCAACATTGCAGAAAATTCTTTTGGACCGCACTGCTGTAGAACCCAGGTACCCATAATAATAGGTACCCAGTAAGTCTGTTATTAAATAAAGATTTCTTTTATCCCCATCTTATGGGTAAGAGAAACATAGACCAGAGAGGTTGTCTCATTTTCCCAAGGCCACACAGCCAGGTGGCCACCTAGCAGAGATTTGAACCCAGTTTTGCCTTGATCCAAAGTACATACTACTCCCTTTCTCAAGAGCCCTCAGCCTATTTAGAGAGGGTTATCTTTGTCTTCCTACAGATCCTTTTACCCTGAGCTTGTACCTAACTGTAGGCAGCTTCATGGAAGAATTGTCGACCCAGGTATCAAGGATGCTGGGGTCAGTCCTAATTCCCAGATTCATTGGTTGTGTGACACTTTGCAAGTTCCTTTGCCTCTCTGGGCCTCGGCTGCATTGCTATAAAATGAAGAAACTGACCCGGATGGCCTGAAGGTTGGGCATGGCAGGGAGGGGCCCTCGAGTGACTGGGTATGCTCTTCAGACACTGGCTCTGGAGCAGGCCAGCGTGAGAAGCGGAGTGGGTTGGAAGTGCTTTGGTTGGCTTGACCTGCCATTAGCAGCTCTTGTTCCTTGAATACTTATACAGAGGAGAAAGCTTAGGTTCAGACAAGGAAAGAAACTTGGCCAAGGCTACACAGCAAGGGAACCGGGGGAACTAGGATTCCATCCTGAGACTGTGATACCATGCCTATGCCACGGAGCAGGGTCGAGGGGTACAGAGCGCAGAGCCAGGACCCACAGGAATCGCGGGGAGGTGTGGTCCCGTAGTAAGTGGAGACCTCTCTGTCTCTGGGGGTGTGCAAGCCGGTGCTGGGCCGTCCACGGGCAAGAACTGACGCCCTGGTCGGTCAACTCAGGCTGGACCGCGGAGCCATTCGCTGTCCCCCTCCGGCCTCCCGCAACCGCGGCGGCCGCCGAGGCTCCAGCACTGCGCTGGCGGGGCGGGGCCCGGCGGGGCTGCTATTTCGGTCTGGTGAGCGCAGCCGGTGCGGCTAGGCGGGGCCGGGGGCGCCCGCGCCGCCATATTCCCTCCCGCCGGCCGGCCATCGGCGCGCAGTTACCATGAGCACCGCCGCCTTTCACATCTCCAGCCTCCTGGAGAAGATGACGTCCAGCGACAAGGACTTCAGGTGCGCCCCGCAGCCCGCCCCGCCTCTCCACCTCCATTGAAACTCCAGGCCTTCCTGTCCTCCAGAGGCGCGGGCCCACCCCACAGGACCCTACAGTCCCTCTCTCTTTTCGCAGTGTTAAGCCCCGCCCCTTCCCCGAGACCCTCCTTCCCCCCACCTCAACGCCCCTGAGGGAGCTCCTGCTGGCTTCTCGCCAGATTGCAGCCCTGCCCTCTCCGTGACTGCAATCCCTGCTTCGTCTCCGGCCGTGCAAACTTAAATCCCTGCCTCCTGTCCCCCGATCAGAGCCCCAGCTCCGCCCCGCTGCACCCGTCCTCTGCCTCTTCTCTCTTCATTTACGTCCAGCCTTCATCTCGCCCCGCATTTGTTGCGCCCACAGGGACCCCAACGCTGCTTATTCTTTCCTGCATTGAAACCCGGCCCCTTCCCGGAATTACACGCGGGGGTTCACTTTTTCAGTGATAACCCCAGCACCCTACGCTTCGCCCTCCTCTCAAAATCACACCAGGCCTTCTCCCTGCATATGAGGGCACCATTTCCCATCCCTTCCTCTCCCAGGTTTGCTTTGACATGGCTTGAAGGAGGGGGGCTGGCCGCGTGGTTTTGCAGGCACAGGTAGACGATGGCTGAGGTGGCGGGGTCGGCGTGCGGGGGATATTCTAGGTTTGGGATGCCCACTCCCCTTCTTTCTCTCTCCCCTGGCACCACTGAGCCTCAGAGGAACAGGGCTGAAAAGAACGGAGGAAACCTGTGGTCCAACTCCCTCATCCTCTGGGAGTGGGGGGTGGACTGAGGCCCAGGGATGTATGTCTCATGGTCACACAGCCAGTTCTGGACCCTCTGAGCCGAAAGGAGCCCGCAAAGACCAATATAGCTGCACCCGCTTATTGAATATTCTATCACTTTATCCCCATTTTACAGATAGGAAAACAAAGCCCCAGAGGCCTGAAGGGCCTAGGTACAGTCACAGAACTAGGAAGTGGAGGACTTGGGGTCCAAATCCAGGTCAGTCTCATGCAGAGACTGAGATTTTAGTGAGGCCATCTGATTCTAGCCCCCTGACAGGTGAGGAGGTTGACCTTTCTGCCTTCTCCTGACACCCATTCCTCAACACCCCTCAATAACCTCTAATACAGCTTTTGTAGACCCTTTGAGCCACAGTCCTGGGTTCAGATCCTAACCACAGCCACTTACTGGCTGTGTGATCATGGACAGATTGCTTAATTTCTCATGAGCCTCAGCTTTTGTTTCTATAGGGTGGGGATCATAATAGAACCCACCTCAGAGGGTTGGTGTGAGGATGAAATGAATTAATGTGTATAGAATGTTTAGATTAGTGGCTTGCACCAGGTAAGCGTGTAATAAACGGACACTATGATGATTCTGTGCACATCAGAAATCCGCCATGCCCTGCCTTTCCCCACTCTGGGCTTTCACCTGGAAGTTCTGTGCCCCGCCCCCTTCATTTCTGCCATTCACCTGGCTAGCTCCTACTCAGTTGCCACCTGTTTGGGATGCCTCCTGACACCCAGGCGGGGTTGGACACCTCCTCTGAGCTCCCACATCTCTTCTGCCAATGTTTCTGCTGTGTCACATCTTAGTCCATGTTTCTGCTGTGTCACATCCAGGACCATGGAACTGTGTGTTTCCTTTTTGTATCCCAGAACCAGTTCTGTGTGCACAGCAGGTGCTCAGTGAATGTTTTCTGTGACTTAGGTCCCTGCTGTGCTGTGCGTTGTCATCTCATTCAGTCTGGGTGGTAATGGTTGTCCTTCCTGTTCTCCAGAAGCTTGGAGAGGTGCAGTGACTTGCCCAAGGTCACACAGCTGAGGGGATTTGCACCACTCTGTCTGGGGCCTTGAGTGTAGTCTCCAGGAGGAGTTGGTCCTGCCACTTAGAGCCTAGGAAACCCTCTCAGCCTGCTCTGCCGGTGGCCCTGAGAACACTTAAAACCACCCAAATACATGAGAGGATGGTGTCTATTTTTAAAGCCCAAATACCAGGGAGGTTGGATCCTGCTGACCAGCTGTCCAGGTACCCATGTGGCCAAGTGTTTCAGCTGAGTTGCCTCTAAGGTTTCTCTGGAATGAAACTGAGACTGTGTCCTCTGGCTCCTGGAGGCAAGCCGTGACTGCGAATGACGTCCCAGGCAGGGTGGGGGACGTCTTTGATTCCTGTTATTCCTGGGCCCCCACACTGTGGGCAGGAGGCTGCCCTGTTCCCACTCAGACTCCAATAGTGAAATGTGGAAGCCGGTGGGTCTGGCAGGAAATTCCACATCATTTCTTGAAAACACAGTAGTATCGGTTGAGGAGGCAGGAGAACTGACTGGTGGGCTAATTTTCCTTCCAACTTGCTATGTGACACTGGGCAGTTCCTGCAAGTTTTCTGAGCCTAGTTTCTAATCTGCCTCATGCTAAGAACCCATTGTTCTCTTAAAACCTCCCAAGGATGTTATGAAGTAGGACAAAGAAAATTCTCATTTTATAGGTGGAAAAAGTGGGACTCAGAGAGGAGTCAGTTGCTCAGAGTCACCCAGTTGTTAAATGACAAGCCCAGTGTATTTATTGAAAGCCTTACTTTTGTGCTCAAGTTCTTATCGACCAAATTAAACTGTTCTGTACACCCCCATTACCACCACACACATATACACAATAGGGCTTTCTTTCTCAGTGAGCTAAGTGTTTCCAGGACCTTCAGGATGTCTGAAACACTGAGGCGTATTTCAGAAGGGTTTATTTCTGCGTTCAAGTTTTCACATAGCAGTTTGGTGCGGAGCCCTGTCAGATGCTAACTAACCCTTCCTCCCTTCCTGCCCTCACCCTGCCCCCCACCCCTGGCCCTCTTTGGACCTGTTCTTTGCTGGGCCTGAATTCTAGAGATGAAACCGACAAGCCCCTGTGAGTAGACATTTTACTGGGGAAGACACATGGGTGACCAAGAGTGCAGCATAGTATGAGAAGTGCTATGATGGAGGGGAACAGAGATCTCTGAGAGGTCCTGTCCAGGAGAACCAAGTGTGCTGAGAGTGTGGGTGGGGGACAGCATAGGGTGGTCAGAGGAGTCATCCCTGAGGCTGCTTTGAGCTGGGCCCTTGACATGAATAGGTGTTCAACAGATGGAGAAGAAAGAAGGGGCAGGAGGCCCATCATGGGCAAAGGAGCACATCCCTTGAGTTGCCAAGCCGAGCTGAATCTCCGTGGACAGCAGCAGAAATGAAGCTTAGAGACCCTGCCTGCTTTCTGAGAATGTTCCCTCAGCTGGACAGACCTAGCAGTGCGTGTGCCTAACCAAGGCCTCGGCCTGGTTCAGGTTCAAACCTCTTCCTTCACCTTACCGTGGCTGCTTCTCCTGCAACGGCCGGGCCCAGGGATAGGCACAGTCAGCCCTGCCACTCCTCCTCCGCTCAGCAGCCTGAGGCTTATCTCAGCTGTTAAAAATAAGCAGCTATGACATCGAAGGTGCCCTCCTGGTAACAGGGCGGTGTGGGCTGCCATGACATCCAGGAGCAGGTCTCAGCCTGCAAAGATGTGGCCGGCTGTGACTGATTTTGCAGAGGGTAGGGGGGAGGAGTGGCAGCAGAAGGCAGGGCTCTTGGCTGACTAGCCCAAGTCAGAAACCAAGGTTGGTGTGAGGAGGTGGGGTGAGCTTGTGGGTCAGCAAAAGCTGGAAGCTGCCTGGGGCCGCCGCTCTGGTCCCAGCTTCATGGCATCTCTCCTTGCTGCTCTGTCCTTTTTCTTCTGGTCTCCATTCTCAGGTGCCTGTGAGAGCCTGTGAACAGGTGGAATGGGCCTGGAAGGAACCTGATGACCTGGAGAGTGTGTGTTTTCTCCTAGAGAGAGCAGCCATGACTTGACTAGAGCCAGTTATTGCCACCAGGACTTAGGCCCAGCTGTATTCAAATAGACTGTTTTCAAGAGTATCTAGAAATCAATACTTTTATGTCAGCTCTCCCAACTTTCAAATATTGACAAATAATTCAAATTTTTTGAAAACATTTGCAAGATGGACACTGCTGAGGGCTGCCAGTGTAAGACTCTGCCCTCCCCCCTGAACTCTGGCAGGAATGGTGCTCCACAGTGCCCTCTGCAGCCCCAGCTCTCAATGGCTTTCCAGCTCAGACTGCCGTCTGCCACTGCACTTTCAAATGCCTGGAACTGGGCATCAGACCACACGGATCTGCCCACCTCAGGGCAAGTAACCCTTGTCTGTGATGTCCAGCCTGGGTCAGGGAGCCGAAGCTGGGGACTGGTCAGCCGTTGCATCAGTGTCTAAGACATGCCCGGGCCCATCAGTGTGGCCTAGGGCAGTGGTTCTTGGAGTGTGGTCCCTGCCCCTCAACATCGTCCAGGAACTTGTTGGAAACGCCCCAGCTCAGGCCTACTGATTAGACACCCTGGGGATGGGACCCAGCAGGTGTTCCCGTGCTGGCTACAGTTTGAAAACCACTGGTCTAAGGGCAGGGGCTGAGTCATTTTTCTGAAGTGGAAGTGGGTGGGGCTAGCCCCTCCACTTGTCTTATAGAGAGGCTTCTTGCTGACCCCTGACTTGGTTGAAAGGTGTCTGTTCACCTTTCTAGCTTGAATGAGATGCGAATGATGTACTATGTCTTTATAATAATAGCAGTGCCATTTACTGAGTGCTCACTGTATGCTAAGCACATCACATGCATTATTTCATTTGATCTTCCATACAACTCCACGAGGCAGGTGCTGTTCTCATCCCCATTTTTCAGACAGTTCAGCTAAGGCTCAGTGAAGTGAAGTGGCTTGCCCAAGTTCACATTTGCATTAATGGCAGAAGTAAGAGCCACCAACTTTAAGGCCCTAGGCATTTAGCTAGTATGCTGTGCCACTCTTAGTTGGCCACAACTTGGCAGTTGGTGTCCTCACACATGAGTTCCCTTTGGTAGCCTGATTGTGCCTACAGCCCAGATAATCTACTTTCCGTTGAATCTTTGTATCAAGGTCTGCTTCTGGGGGAACTCTTAAGGTGCTTCCTAAATCACTGGAGCCCCGGAGCTGCTCGAAAATCCGTCTCTGCCCTCCCTGCCCAGGTTCATGGCCACCAGTGACCTGATGTCAGAGCTGCAGAAGGACTCCATCCAGCTGGATGAGGACAGTGAACGCAAGGTGGTAAAGATGCTGCTTAGGCTCCTGGAGGACAAGAATGGCGAGGTGCAGAACCTGGCTGTCAAATGGTGAGTGCTGGCCTTGTTGGGGACAGGGAGGCACCCTCTGGCTATGCCTAGTGTGGCAGCTCCCTAGGTGTCCCTGCCCCTTTAGGCTACAGTCTCTGAGAGAAGAATTGCTAAGCAGCTCTTGGAATCCCAGTAGAGTTGGACAGTGACTTGGTGTGGTTTCCCTAGAAGGAGACTTAGCAACAAGGAATCAGTTGTAGGTTTATTTGAGAAGTGATCCCAGGAAAATCTAGTTCGGAAATAGGGAGGCAAGGCAGAGAAGAAAGCAAGCCAACAAATCCTGCACTATCAAGCAAGTTGCTGCTGTGCGTAAGCAGAGCTTAACCGTCCTGGGGACCCCTTAGAGTGCCCCCACCTGCCAGCTCTCCGTCAGTCCTTGGCTCAGGCTGTCCTGGGGTAGGGTGGAGGGTGGTGCGTTCCCTGGCACCAGCAAAAGCCCTCAGGCACCGATGCAGGTGCTGGCACTGGAAGGTCAGACTGACATGCACCAGAGTGCTGAGAGCTGAAGGGACACAGTGGTCCTAAAAGCCTTTGCCCTTGGTATCATGAGGCTGTGGTCCTGTGATTTTGGCCACTTACCTCTGGAGCTGAAAAAGCAATATGGGGTATGCATAGGATGTGTGTGTGTGTGCGCGCGCGCGGTGGTATTAGATGGGGTAGTGTCGGGAGGCCAGGGCAGGGCACTGAATAATGGCAGGGGTCAATAGGCAACAGAGAATTGGGGCATGACCTCTCTAACAGTACTCTCTGGGCTCAGGCATTTTGGGCCATGTTAATGAATTTCAACTTGATCCAGAGAGCAAAGGGAATTCGGTAGAGTTTTATGTAGAACATGACGTATCTCCCATACAATCCCATTTGTTGCGTGGTGTGGAGTAGAGAGATGGGGGAACCGTGGTTTCCCACCAGCACAGCCAGTGTCCCCTTTTTACAACAGGTACTCCGAAATACCCTCTTCCTCTCATGAAGTGAGATCCATACGTATTATATAGCCTGCCTGTACACAGTTTCGAAGCCAGATATGTAATACCCTCAACTGTAACATAAAGGAGAAATAGAAGGAATGTGGTTCCTAGTAAAATAGTATGTTGCAGTTAGTGCTCTGGCTTGATGACAGGAGAGTGATAATGAAGTCATGAGCAGCCTGCACCTCAGCGTCGACTCACTGTGAGTGCCACAGCAGTAGCAGGTGGGGACAGGTGGGGATGCTGGGGACTCAGATACCGCCAGGGGCATTGCTCTGAGTGATAGGATTTTCTGAAATGATGGCTATTTCCTTATGAAGTTTCCGAGAAAACGGTACAGACTTCCTTCGGTTTACCTAATAGTTACATTCTTGGAAAACTTAGCGTGCATTAAAAGAGTGCAAAAAGTACTTTGTGTTTATATGTAAAATGAAATTAGGTTCTGGACTGAGATGATTAGAGAAAGGCTTTTTACCTGTATGAATGCCCAGAGGGATGTTAGAAACATCAGGAAGACCTGGAATGTGATTTGCTTTGCAATATTGTCTTTCTACCATTCCTGGCCACCTCTCCACCCTTCCCCTGACACACACACCCCCTCAGGAAAAGCCGGAAGGGCCATCTCATTAGTTATGGTGACCAGAACAGGCTCCGTAAGTTTTCAAAACACCCCCGGGGGCACCGTCATCCCTACTGTGAACCAATGCTATAGGACGGAGAATGGGAGGACCCATGCTCACTTAGATGGAAGAGGTGATGGAGAAAGCAGTCAGGAGAGCCAAGGTTTGCAAACTGGCATGAACTGGAGTCACTTGGGACCTTTGTTAGAACCGTGTATTCCCCATCCAGGGATTCAGGAGTGGGAGAGGTGGAGGGAGATAAGACTCTGCATTCTAATGCACACCGACATCAGAGAACCACTCATTTAGGTCAGAGCTTCTCAACTTGGACTGCGTGTTAGGATCACCTGGGGAATTTTTAAAAACTCCCATCATCCAGGCTACACCTGAAATCAGTGAACTCAGATTCTGGGGCTGGCACCCAGGTAACAGTTTTTTAAAGGGCTCAGGCAATGGCAATGCACAGTTAAGGCTAAGAACCAGCGCATCTAGTGCAGCTGTTTTTAAACATTAATGTGCATTCGAATCACTTGGGGACTTCGTTGAAATGCAGACTCTGGTTCAGGAGCTCTGGGGCAGGACTTGAGAGTCTGCATTCTGACAAGTTCCTGGTGATGCTGATAATGCTCATATGTGACCACACTTGGAGAAGCAAGGCTCTAAGGCAGTGGTTTTCAAAGTGTGTTCTTGGACCACTAGGCTCAGCATCTATTAGGAACCTGAGGAACTTGATGGAAATGCAAATTATTGAGCCCCACCCAGACCTCCTGAATCTGACAGTCTGAAAATCTGGGGTGGGCCCCAGTGGTTTGTGTATTTTTTGCTTGTTTGTTTTTTGAGATTTTGTTTATTTATATTTAGAGAGAGGGGGCAGGAGAAAGAGGGAGAAAAACATCAATCAGTTTCCCCCAAAGGGTGGGGGGCAGGACTTGGCCTACAACCTAGACATGTGACCTGATTGGGAATAAAACCCATGGCCTTCGGTTTACAGGCTGGCACCCAACCCACTGAGCCGCACCAGTCAGGGCAAGCCACCTGTGTTTCAACAAGTATTCCAAGGGATCCTGATACCTGCTGCAATTTGAGAACCACTGCTCTTGGGCACTCTTTGGTTTCCAATTGAGGTTACTGGGTTCGATGTTTTGGCCATATACTAAGTTGCAAAACCCAGGAGGAGAGGAAGGTTTGGGAGGTGCCAGGAACGAACTGGTATAGCCACAGGGTGCTGCTCCTTCTGGCAAAACAGGGGAGTCTCCTTTTGACCCAGGGCCTTCTCCTCAGGATATGTGGCCCCACAGGCTTGAGGGGACATAAGGGGTAGCCTGACTCAGGCAGAGCCTGGGCTTTTGAACCCTCTTCTTCCCTCTCTGCTCAGCCTGGGTCCTCTGGTGGGCAAAGTGAAGGAGTACCAGGTAGAGACCATCGTGGACGCTCTCTGTGCCAACATGCGGTCAGACAAGGAGCAGCTTCGAGATATCGCTGGCATCGGCCTCAAGACTGTCCTGTCGGAGCTGCCCCCTGCAGCCACAGGTACCCAGGTCCCAGGGACTAGGTACTGTTATTACTTATCCTAGTTTACGGTTAAAGAAACTGAGGCTCAGAGAGGTAAAGAGACTTACCTAAGGTCAACCAGCCAGTCAATGGCAGAGAATTCAGACCCTTATCTGCTTAAGTTCATGGCTGTTTGTCAGGAATACTTGCAGCTGCAAGTTACAAAATCTAACTCATGGCAGCTTGAGGAAGTAGGGGATCAGCCACTCCACTTTTGTAGCAATTCATTTAGCAGCTTAGTTAGGACAGAGTTGAGTCTTTGCCTGGGCCACTTGCTCTTTATAAGAAAACATGTGTTTCCCCAGAAGCCTCCAGAAGACTTTGTCCTATATTTCCTTGGCCAGAATGGTGTCATTGGGCCCCTCCTAACAGCAAGAGAGTCCAGGAAAAGAAGTATTCAACTTTTCCCTTTGCCCTAGTGAAGGGAGGAAGGATGGAGGGGTGAGGTATGGGGTGAGCCAGTCAGCAGGTTGCCTTCAGTTGTTGTTCTGCAGGCTGTCGCTTAGTTTCGGCAGGACTTTCAGTTAAACATAGGACCACTCAGGTGCTAGGTCTCCTGGGTCAGCAGAGCAAAGGCTGATCAGAGATAGAGGTCAGCCCTAAACCTCACCATGCCCACTCTATGTTCTGTGCAGGCTCTGGCTTGGCCACCAACGTGTGCCGGAAGATCACTGGCCAACTCACCAGTGCCATTGCCCAGCAGGAGGACGTGGCCGTGCAGCTGGAAGCCCTGGACATCCTCTCTGACATGCTGAGCAGGTGCGGGAGGCCAACCCAGGCAAGGAAGACCAGGGTAGGAGGGGGAGCAAAGGGGACAGGGAAGGATTTAAATCTGCAGAGCCAGCCCCTGCTACACATCCAGCCCTGTGCTCAGGACTCTTTAATTGTCCCTGCAGCCCTGCAAAGGAGAACTTGTTGTCACAATTTTATAGGCTGTGAGAGGTGATGTGGCCTGCCTGAAGTCACACTATCAGTAAATGGCAGAACCTAGGATTTGAACTCAGGTCTCTCCATAGCTGAAGCCCAGGTGTGTTCATCCTCTCCCTCACCCCCTTCTTTCTCTTTCTTTCTTCTTTTGAGCTAATGTAGCCGGGCCTTTGTTTTAAATTGTACTGCACAGTTTAAAAGCATTCATTCATTCAACCTTCCAAGATTTGAGCACCTACTTTGTAGCCAAAGAAACGTCAGGTGCTGGACTAGTGCTGGGAATGTGGAGTGGCTCCACCTTGGTCCCTCCTAAGAAGGAGCTCACAGACACATCAACTGGGACTGGAGTAAGAACAACAACAGGGTAAGAGCAGGGCCTGTAGGAGCTCAGAGGAGGAGACCTTAATCCAGCTGAGGGCGTTGGGGCCCTGCCTAGAGAGGATCCTGCTAGATGACCTTTCAAGGATGGGCAGGACATGGCCAGGCACGGGCATGAGTGGGACACTAGATGAGGAGACTGCCCTCAGCCCAGAGGGCAGAGGCAGGAGAAGACATGGGGTCTGGGGGTTATGCAAGGCAGCCTTGGGCTGGGGTGTAGTGTGGGGGGCTGGCATGGAGAGATGAGGTCTGAGGGCTGAGCAAGAGCCGGGGGTGGGTGACTGACAATTATCCTGAAGGTGTGAGGAGCTCGTGGAGGGTTTTATGGCAGAGGATGATGAATGCCGTGTGCATATTTGTGAGTTTTAGACTGATCATCCTATCTTCAGTGTGCACAGTAGATGGGAGGGGGTGGAATAGGCAGGGAGACTGGCTTGGAGGCTTCTGCAATTGGGTGAATTCAGGTTGTATTTTGGAGGTGGACTCCACAGAGCTTAGAGTTGGTGGGAGAGGTGAAGACTCGAGAATGATACCCAGGGGTCTGGCCTTACTAACTGGGGACACAGACGCAGGGCCATTGCTGTGGTTGCCCTGTGGGGGTGGGGCAGGTGTGGCGAAGGAGGTGATGGATTCAGCTTGGGGCACGTTGAATTTGAGGTTCCTGGGGGGCCCCCACTCATCTGAAAACTCCATAAGGATAGGTTCTAAAGGCAAAGTCTATCTTGCCCACCTGATCCCCCAGTGCAGGCCCTTTCACATAGTAGGTAAACACATAAATAAATGAAACCTGGATGAGAGGTTTGGGCTGGATGGAGAGATATAGGAGGGTGAGATCAATATGAAGTGTAGAGTGAGAGAAGAAAAGGTCTTAGGACATGTATGAGACAGAAATGCACAGGCCTGGTCTGAAGGTGAGAATAGAAGCTTCTAAGGTGAGCAGGGGCTGCCTCCTACGTATACGGAAACTGTTTTCTTGTGTTGCCTCTTTCTTTGAGCCCAGAGCTCAGCTTATCCAAAGGGCACTGGGGAGCTGTGGAAGGAGACTGAGGGAGATAAGCAGAAGAATGACCAGGTCAGAGGTAGATTTTAGACTCTTCTTGTCTTGGTCGGGGAGGGGGATTGAGCAAAGGCCCAGACTCCTAGGAATTCAGGACAGCCTCACTGAAGCCCCACACACCATTGCTATTGATCTTCCCAAGCTGGGAGCCTGGACACCTGGGTTCAGGTTCTGGCCTTGCATTTCTTGGCTGGGTGGCCTTGAGGAAGTTTCTTCCCCTCTCTGCTTTCTCTGTGTAGTAATAATATGACTCCACACAGTTGCAGGGTGCCTTTCCATTTAGCAGGGGCCATTTGGGTCCTCATAATTCCTGGGAGGAGGCCAGGAGAGAAGACGGGCCTGGCTCAGGGTACCCGCCATGTGGGCCCATCTGATTTCCCTTCCCGCTACCCAGGCTGGGTGCCCCACTGGGTGCCTTTCACGCCAGCCTCCTGCACTGTCTCCTGCCACAATTGAGCAGTCCCCGCCTGGCTGTGCGCAAGCGAGCCGTCGGGGCACTAGGCCATCTGGCGGCCGCCTGCAGTACTGACCTCTTCGTCGAGCTCGCCGATCACCTGCTAGACCGGCTGCCTGGCCCGCGCGCATCCGCCAGCCCCGCCAGCCCCGCCAGCCCCGCCGCCGTCCGCACCCTAATCCAGTGTTTGGGCAGCGTCGGCCGCCAAGCAGGCCACCGCCTGGGTAAGGGAGCCGGGTCCCGGGGCAAGGAGTCTGGGTCTAGGTGAGGAGGTGCTGGGGCCAGGGGCGGGGCCCACGCTGTGAGGGTGGGGCCAGGGGCGGGCCACCTCCAGAAGGGAGGTAGGGGTTAAGTTACTGGAAAAGGACGGCGGGCCTTGAGAGCCTTCTGCTTCTCAGCCGCAGGTAATTATAAATCATTCCACCAAACTTAAATAAAATATGTTAAAAAAAAAAAAAAGTGCTCGGTTTGGCAGCACCTGTACTAAAAAGATAAAATATTTTTGCCCTCCTACTTTGACAAATAACCTTAATAACAATCTGTAAGCCAGGTTTGAATTTTTTAAAATTTTCATTGGGAGATAATGTAAGTACAACAGTCCACAGTGTTGAAAGTGTACAAGTCAGTGTGTTTCAGCCTTTGGATACACCCATGAAACTACCGCAATCAAAATGCAGAACGTTTCCATTACTCCCAAAAGTTGTGCCTCTTTGTGGAGTCCATCTCTTCCTTTGCCCCACCCCAGGCAACCACGGATCTATTTTCTGTGACCATAGATTAATTTTATGGAAACGGAATCCTGCAATCACGTTTGAATTTATTCTCCAACACTTTGCAGTTCCAGGCTAGAAAAAGGAAGTGTGGGAAGAGTTGGCCTTGGTCTGTGTTCCGTTCCCTTCCCTTCCCTGCCCTTCCCTCTGGCTCTCTCACTGAAATTGACCTTATAAGCACACATGGGGCTCTAGCCCACAGTCTACACTCTCTCTACCTCCCCCACCCTTCCCTTCTCCACCCTCTCATGCCAAACGGCAGCCACCCCTTGGCCACCCTTGGGAGCATAGACTGGGAAAGAGGTCTACACAGAACCCAGACAAAAGTTCAGGGTCAATTGGGGAGGAAAATAGGGAAGGGTGTGGCTGGAGAAGGGTTAGGGTGGGACCCTCTAAAGCCCAGGGCCCCTCTTGTCTGGTCTACAAGGGCAGTACCTACTTCTCCCCTTTTTCCACCCAGGGCTACAACCTAGTACAGGAAAAGCAAGGATATGACTAATAGTTTCAACAACAGATACTACTTATTGAGTGCCTCCTCTGTGGCAGGACCTGGGTGAAGCTCTTTGTCTGCATCATGTTAATTTTCACAAAATCTCTGTAGTAGGCATTACTGTCCCTACTGTGAAGACAAATAGACACAGGTCAGACAAGTGTTGTGACATGCCCAAGATCCCAAAGCTCATAGGTGGCAGAGTCAGAGCCAGAACCCACATCTGCTTGATTTTGAAGCCTTTGAGTTGAGTTTGCAGTGGTCAGGGCTGCGGGTGCAGGGACAGACTGCGGGTGCAGGTGCTGTGGGCTAGGGAAGCCTGGGAGAGGGTCTGGCCTCTTCTTAGTGACGCACCTGGCTTTACAGGGGCCCACCTGGACCGCTTGGTGCCTCTGGTGGAGGAGTTCTGCAACCTGGATGATGATGAGCTCCGGGAGTCCTGCCTTCAGGCCTTTGAGGCCTTCCTAAAGAAGTAGGTACAGCAGTTTCTTGGAAGATGAGGGCCCCAGAGTTTCTCTGGGAAGTTGGTGGGGAGAGGGTTGAGCACAGAATGCTGGTCTCAGAGCACTGAGAGCTCAGGACTCACCACTCGGGCCCACTGCCTACCCTGCCCGGCCTGGGTCCACCCGAGCCTCCCTCTCCCATCCCACAGGTGCCCCAAGGAGATGGGCCCTCATGTGCCCCAGGTAACCAGCCTGTGCCTCCAGTACATGAAGCACGACCCCAACTATAACTACGACAGTGACGGGGAGGAGGAGCAGATGGAGACAGAGGATAGTGAATTCAGTGAGCAAGGTGGGTGGCCAACTTGTCACTGGGGCTGGAGGGTGGAAATGAGTGTAGCCTTCCTGGGATTCCCCTCCCCAGCCAGAGAAGGGCTACCTTTAGTCCCTAAATCCTGATCCCACCTGTTCCTCAGGCTCCAGCCCTGCCTCCCATAATCCGGATTCTCCAATGTCCCCATCCCTTCTTATTGCAGAGTAAGGATAGTAGTAATCACTAACATTTATTGAGCATCTACTGGTGTCCCAAGTGCTCTGTTATTTCATGTTCCTTACAGTAACCCTAGAAAACCAGGTATTTATTATTATCCCCATATTTCAGACAGGGAAAGTGAGACTTAGAGAAGTGATTTGCCTGAGAGAACACAGCTCTATGAAACACAGCTAGGAAGTGGCAAAGCTGGGACTTGGAGCAAAGTCTCTCAGACTCCCTAACCCCTATGCTGTCATTTCTATCCTTTTAGTTATGGCTTCCAAGGGATAATGCTTTAACCCAGCAGAGTGAAGTTCTAATGGTAGAATGATAGACACCGACTAGGCACAGACCCAGGAGATATCTGGATGGGGAATAGACTCGATGGCTACTTTCCTTCTGTGCCTATGATCCAGTTTGTCACTCAGATGGATGCCCCTGTGTCCTGCAAGCAGGGCGTCAATGGAAGGAAGGGATTTAGAGTCTGATGAGATGGGAGGGTGAGAGACAAGTTTGGACAGGTATATTGAGGCCTGGAATGCCAAGCCAAGGAGATCGGGTATTTTCTTGTCAGTAACATGGAGCTATGGATGTTTCTTCATGGATGGCATAGGGTAGAGGTAACAAATAACAGACCATCAGAAGGGGCATCTGCTGACAGGATGCATCCATGTGGCCCACTATTGGTTGTCCAGGTGCCACCTCTGAGAGCCTGAGTTGTCAACAGAGCAGTGTGAGTAAGAACACGCTAGTCTCTGAGCCTATAACTGGGATGTCCCTAGTTAGGACCATCTCCTTTTGAGCCTCATGTGTCTCCACAGGTAACAGGCATAAGCCTTGTTGGCCTGAATATCAGCTCTCCTGTTCCCTAGCTGTGTGCCCTCAGGAGAGGCTCTCACCATCTCTGATCTTTCTTCTGGTCATCTGTTCATCTGTAAAATGGGGCTAAGACACTGTGAGCTCTGCCCTGTCTGGGGAGCTGGGAGGGTAGAAAGCCACACAAACACAGCACTTCCTGCTTGGAAGCCAGAGGAATCAGGACCCTTGAGAGACTGGAGCAGGGCGGGGCAATTCCAAAGGAGGCCCTATTGCCTCTTCCCTCTGGAATCCTAATAAATGAAACATCACACAGCCAGTTCTAAAACCAAAGGATGGGTCTTGTGCCCTAACTAGATTCTCTAGGTCCTCATTGAAGACTTGGAAGTCAGTTTTTTCCCTGGAGTAGTCAAAACAGTGAAGGGTATGGAGGCAGAAGGAGGACCCTGATGTAATTCCAGCGATTTCCCTGCTCATGTAACTTGGGGTCAGTCACTTCCCTCAGAGTCCCAATTTCCTTCTCTGTCATGGGGAAGTAATCCCTGTCTCACAAGGTCATTGTGAGGCTAAAAGGAGGTTGTGCATTTGAAGTGCTTGATGCCATCTACAGCTCACAGTAGGTGTTTATTAAATGGTAGGTAACATTCCTACTAGTACTGGATAAATACTGATCATTATAAGGTGAACCACACAGTTGTCTCCCTCTTCACCTCTTCGTCCTGGGAGCCCACCTGGGTGGGGCGGGCAGCTCCCTATCCATCTGCTGCAGAGCGCAGGGCTCCATGGTGTCCGGTTTCTGCCCCAGAGAGTGAGGACGAGTACAGTGACGACGATGACATGAGCTGGAAGGTGCGCCGGGCAGCAGCCAAGTGCATGGCGGCCTTGATCAGCTCTCGGCCTGACCTGCTACCTGACTTCCACCGCACCTTGGCGCCAGCACTCATCTGCCGCTTCAAGGAACGTGAGGAGAATGTCAAGGCTGATATCTTTGGGGCCTACATTGTGCTGCTGCGGCAAACACGGCCCCCGAAGGGATGGCTGGAGGCCATTGATGAGCCCACTCAGACTGGCAGCAACCTCCACATGCTGCGAGAACAGGTGGGCATGCCTTCCCCTCTCTCCCCCTTCACCCCACGCCCACAGCTCACCCTCCCACCCTCTCACAACCCTACCATCCATCCATCTTCCCACGCCACCCTCTGTCCATCCACTAAAGTATGCATATGGAGCACCTGCTATGTGCTCGACCCTGTGTAGCAGGTGCTGGGGCACAGCGGGTAACTAGACAGATGAAGGCCCTGCCCCTGGTCCCCCCAGCTTTTGGGTCTTGCTGATAGATTAGATGTGGAAGGTGGAACAGGGAGGTAGCACATGAGTTCCAGGCTCTGGCTAAAGCATGGAGTATAGTTCCCTGAGGTGGCAGAACATGAAGAGGGTGATGTCTAGAGTTCTCGTCTGGACATTTGCATTTAAGGTCCTTGGATGTCCAAGTGGAGATGTCAGGCAGGCACTGTGTCTACTGGGAGTCATTGCTGCGCTGGCACCTGAAGCTTGGGGAGCAGATGAGCCCATCTGGGGAAGGGAAGGGGCCCCATGCGTCCCCGCTTGAGGTGTAGGGGTGACAGCCAGACTGCCTGCATACTTTTAAGCAAGTTATTTAATCTCTCGGTAAAGTGGGCCTAGGAGTAGTACCTATTTCAGAAAGTCTGAGTATAGACTCAGGTGTCTGGTACAGAGCGAGTGATGGAAAGCTTGGGACGGAGAGATCCTCTGCATGCTGAGTTCCTCAATGGACAGGGTGTGGAAGTCCCTGGGTGGTCACTGACCCCCCTTCACCTGCCCATAGGTGCCCCTTGTGATCAAGGCCCTACAGCGGCAGCTGAAAGATCGGAGCATCAGGGCCCGCCAGGGATGCTTCAGCCTCCTCGCCGAGCTGGCGGGCATCCTCCCCGGCAGCCTGGCAGAGCACATGCCTGTGCTGGTAGCAGGTAGGATGGGCTGGAGCCTGACATCTGCTGTCCTGGGCCTCTTCCAGAACCCCACCCCCAATCCTTGAGGGTTTCCCTGTTCCACAACATACGATGGCTCCCCGTTGCCAGGAGTGAGAATAAGGCTGGGGTGCAGGCGCTACCTCCTGGTTACAGGTGGCCTTGTGTCCCTTAGCCCTGGTCCCAGCCAAGCCCTAGATTCTAACCTCTTAGAATCTGCTACATAAGAACCCAGGTACCTGGAGCCAGCTCAGACAGCTGTGGATGTTCTATCCCCGCACCCAGGGAGGGCTTTGTTGGGTCAGGGTCAGTGGCCTATAACCTTTGCACCACTCCCTGCAGGCATTGTCTTCTCACTGGCGGACCGGTCTAGCTCCTCCACCATCCGGATGGATTCCTTGGCCTTCCTGCAGGGGCTTCTGGGCACAGAGCCTGCTGAGGCCTTCCACCCACACCTGTCCGCCCTCCTGCCACCTGTAATGGCCTGTGTGTCTGACCCTTTCTACAAAATTGCAGCTGAGGCCCTGCTGGTGCTACAGGAGCTGGTGCGGGCCCTGTGGCCTCTGGGTAGGCCTCGGATGCTGGACCCCAAGCCATACGTTGGAGAGATGTCTGCAGCCACCCTGGCACGGCTCCGTGCCACCGACCTGGACCAGGAGGTGAAGGAACGGGCCATCTCCTGTATGGGCCACCTTGTAGGCCACCTGGGTGACCGGTTGGGGGATGACCTGGAGCCATCGCTATTGCTCCTCCTGGACCGTCTGCGGAATGAAATCACCCGGCTGCCTGCCGTTAAGGCACTGACGCTTGTGGCTCTGTCCCCACTGCAGCTTGATCTGCAGCCGATCCTGGCTGAGTCATTGCCCATACTGGCCTCATTCCTGCGTAAGAACCAACGGGCGCTGCGGCTGGCCACATTGGCTGCCCTGGACGCCCTGGCTCAGAGCCAGGGACTCAACCTCCCTCCATCTGCTGTGCGGGTTGTGTTGGCAGAGCTGCCTGCCCTGGTCAGCGAGAGTGACATGCATGTGGCCCAGCTAGCTGTGGACTTTCTCACCACGGTGACCCAGGCCCAGCCAGCCTCTTTGGCTGAGGTCAGTGGCCCCGTGCTCTCAGAGCTGCTGCATTTGCTGCGTTCACCCCTGTTGCCAGCAAGTGTGCTGGTAGCTGCCCAAGGCTTCCTGCAGGCTCTGGTGGGGACCCGGCCCCCGTGTGTGGACTATGCCAAACTCATGGGCCTGCTCACTGCTCCTGTTTATGAGCAGGCTGTGGACGGGGGGCCAGGCCTGCACAAGCAGGTGTTTCACTCTCTGGCTCGATGTGTGGCAGCCCTCACAGCTGCCTGTCCCCAGGAGGCAGCAAGCACAGCAAAACGCCTGGTCTGCGATGCCAGGTCACCCAACTCCAGCACGGGGGTCAAGGTCCTGGCATTCTTGTCATTGGCGGAAGTCGGCCAGGTGGCTGGGCCTGGCCCCCAGCGGGAGCTGAAGACAGTGCTTCTGGAAGCCTTGGGGTCACCCAGTGAGGATGTGAGGACGGCAGCCTCCTATGCACTAGGCCGTGTGGGTGCTGGGAACCTGCCCGACTTTCTGCCCTTCCTGCTGGGACAGATTGAGGCTGAGCCCCGGCGACAGTACCTGCTGCTACACTCGCTCAGGGAGGCCCTGGGGGCAGCCCAGCCTGACAGCTTAAAGCCCTACGCCGAGGACATCTGGGCCTTGCTGTTCCAGCGCTGCGAGGGTGCTGAGGAGGGCACCCGGGGAGTAGTGGCCGAATGCCTCGGGAAGCTTGTCCTTGCAAACCCCCCATTCCTTCTGCCCCGCTTCCGGAAGCAACTCGCTGCAGGTAGGGTCACAGGGTTGGGCAGAGGCAGCCCAGATCATTAGTGGGCAGTTTGCCCCTCAGTGTCTGAGCATCTCACACAAAGTGAGCTAGTTCCAGTAATTGGGTCTGAGAGTCACAGTGTGTGTAATACAAAGGCACAGGAGCCATTTAAAAACTATTTTCTGAGACTTACAGACCTCTTCCCCTGGGACCCTCTGGGATGGAGGGGACAGAATCCATGATCTTCAACAAATATTTCGTGATGCCTCTTCATAATCCTTGGTGTGGAAAGAAGCCTTATGCTCTAAGCAGAGGTGAATAAAAGCAGTTCTCTGAAGGGCCAGAAACTGCAGCCTGCAGAATGCAGGTCTTTTGGGCTAGCTTGAGCCAGGAGCAAATGGAAACGTACACAAGATTGGGTGCCATGACCTGAGGTTTGGGGAGGGCAGGGCAGGAGCTAGGGGTCAGCTTGTGTGTGGTCAGATCAGGGTATATCAAGGTGTTCCACAGCTCAGGGAGGAAGAAAACAGGTGTACTTGTGGAGCTGATTGGGCCTTTAGAACAAAAGGCATCCAGGCCTATATCTGTTCAACTGACCCCTGATAGGGTCAGTGGGTGTATTAGTTCACATAATGCAAGCGAGTGCTTTGTATGGTGTGTGATACCCAGTTAACACCGAGTAACTGCTGCCATTGCTATGTTGGTGATCCCTTTAAGCCCTTGCTGGGTTGCTGGGTTTATAAGAAGCAGCTGTGTGGCCCTCACCCCTGCGTGACCAGGAAGAACATTTCCTGAGGACATTCCCCATTACACTGGCAGGGCGGCTCACGAGGACCTTTGAGAGGCGTCAGGATGAGGAGCAGCCCTGCTGTTTCTTTTTTCTTTTTTTAATTTTTAGTTACTGATTTGAGAGAGAGAGGGGAGAAGACAGAGAGAGATACAGAAACAGTGATTTGCTATTCCACTCATTTATGCATTCATTGGTTAATTTCTGTATGTGCCCTGACCAGGGACTAAACCCACAACCTTGGTGTATTGAGACGATGATTCAACCAACCAACCAGCCAGGGAGCCCTGCCTTTTCTAAGCTCTGATTTGTTTCTGCCTCACAAATACTATTGAACCAGCTAACTAGTCACATGTCCTTTTTACCACTGGCTTCGGGGAAGGAAGCTTAGAGCCAAATTGGTGGCCTGCTTCTGGCAATTCATGGGACTTCCCAGTTGCCCACTCCTGCATGCCCCTCACTGTAGCCTCCATCTCACTTCCCTGCCTTGTCCTGGTTTTTTCTTATTTTAAATTTACTGAATCCTATTCTATTTGCGTATCTTCATCAGCCACCTCGAGTCTGCTTAGGGGCTAGTCAAGATGCAAAGACAACGGGGGGGGAAGTCTCAGTTCAGTAACTCATTCACTCACACATACCCTAGCGCCAAATTATAAACTTTCTCCTGCGTCTCCAACAAAAAGTTTGTGAATGAAACAGCCTTAACCCATTTACTGTTATATGTAGATGGGTGGCTGAAGGGGAGGTGGAGAGAAGTAAGCGGTTCATCTATTTCTTTTTCTTCCAGTTTTACTGAGGTATAATTGACATATAACATCGTATTAGTTTAAGGAGTACAACATAATGATTTGATATATGTGTATGTTGTAAAATGATAATCACAGTAAGTTTAATTAACATCCATCAACTCTTGTAGTTACAAAATTTTTTTTCCTTATAGTGAAGACTTTTAAGATCTACTCTCAGCCCTGACTAGTGTGGCTCAGTAGGTTGGGTGTCATTTTGCAAACTGAAAGGTTACAGGTTTGATTCCAGTTGGCGCACGTGCCTGGGATTGCAGGCAAGATCCTCGGTTGGGGGCGTGCAAGAGGCAGCCCATTCATGTTTTCTCTCTCTTCCCCTCTATCTAAAAATGAATAAATAAAATCTTTAAAGAAAAAAGATATCTACTCTCTTAGGAACTTTCAAATATATAAAACAGTATTGTTAGCTCTAGTCATTATGTTGTGCATTACATTAGCTGAAATTACTTATCTTGTACCTGGAAGTTTGTGTCTTTTTTGACCACAACCCATCTTGCCCATACACACTCCCCATCTCTTGCAACTGCAAATCTGATCTCTGTTTCTATCAGTTTTGTTTTTTTAGATAACACATATGAGATCATATGGTATTTGTCTTTCTCTTATTTCACATAGCGTAATGCCCTCAAGAGTCATCCATGTTGTGGCAAATGGCAGGATTTCTTTCCCTTCTGTGGCTGAATAATATTATTGTGTGTGCGTGTGTGTGTGTATGCGTATGTATCCCATTGTCTTTATCAATTCATTTGTTGATGGACACTTAGGTTGTTTCCATGCCTTTTAGCATTATTTTTTAGCATTATTACCTAAACATGGGAGTGCAGATAGCTATCTGAGATAACTTTCATTTTCTTCAGATATATACCTATAAATGGGATTGCTAGGTTATATGGCAATTCAATTTTTAATTTTTTTTAGATTGATTTATTTATTTTTAGAGAGATGGGAAGGGAGAGAGAAAGAGGGAGAGAAGCATCAGTGTGTGGTTGCCTCTTGCGTGCCCTCTACTGGGGACCTGGCCCACAGCCCAGGCATGTGCCCTGACTGAGAATCAAACCTGCGGCCCTTTGGTTTGCAGGCTGGCATGCAATCTACCGAGCCACACCAGCCAGGGCCAATTTTTAATCTTTTTGAGCAACCTCTATACTGTTTTTTATAGTGGTTATACTGATTTACATTCCCACCAACAGTACACAAGTATTCCTTTTTCTTCACATCGTTGCCAACATTTCTTATGACATTGTGGTTTTGATTTGTATTTTCCTGATGATTAATGACATCTAGCACCTTTTCATATACCTGTTGGCCTTTCAAGTATCTTCTTTGAGGAAAGTGTTTATTCAGGTCCTTTGCCCATTTTTAAATTGGATTATTTGTTATTTGTTATTGAGTTGTATGAGTTTTTTAAAGTCTGTATCATGGTTTGCAAATATTTTTTCCCATTCATTTTGTTGTTGGGTTTTTTTGCTGTGCAGAAGCTTTTTAGTTTGATGTAGTCCCACTTGTTTATTTTTTATTTTTTTGCTTGTGTTTCAGGAGTCCTTTCCAAAAATTCATTACCAAGACCCAAGTCAAGGAGCTTTATTCCTATATTTTCTTCTAGGATTTTTATGCTTTTAGTTCTTACACTTAAGTCTTTAATCCATTTTGCATTAATTTTTGTGAGTTGTATAAGATAGGGGTCTAGTGTCATTCTTTTACCTGTGATTATTCAGTTTTCCCAGCACCATATATTGAAGAGACTGTCTTTTCTCCACTCAGTATTCTTGGCTCCCTTGTCAAATATTAGTTGACCATACATGCCTATATTTATTTCTGGGCTCTCAATTCTGTTTTGTTGTCTTATGTGTCTGTTTTTATGCCAGTATCATGCTGTTTTGATGATTATAGCTTAAAATCAGGAGGTGCGATGCCTCCTGCTTTGTTGTTCTTTCTCATGATGGTTTTGGCTACTTGAGGTTTTTTATGGTTCAGTACAAATTTTAGGATTTTTTTTTCTATTTCTGCAAAACATCCCAGTAGGATGTGGGCCGTTTAGAGAGAGCTGATTTATTTCTTTTGCCCAATGGGAAATATATTTCCCTCCCTTATTCAGCTTCTCCGCTCAGAAAGGAAGCAGAAAAGCAAAACTAAGTGAGTTCTTTATTCCCAAACTTTGGAGATGCTCTGAATTCTGTTGGAATCCTCTTGGTCTTCAGCCTGCCTGAAGTACAACTGTCACCTGCCTGGAGAATTCGGGAGAGCCCAGCCAAGGCTCAGAATCGGCTGTTTAACTCTGGACCTGCTCTGTGGCCTTAGACGTGAACTTAACTTTTCTGAGTCTATCTTTCACCCATAAAATAGACATTAATAATTTTATTAATCATTGTAATTATATAGTATTATCAACCAATTAATAGGACAACCCTGAGGCGTAATTGAAATAATGTGTCTGAAAAACAGAATGCTGTCCCAAGGCCTGAGTAGAGATCATTCTTTGGGTTGGGTTCTTAATTCTTGAGTTCTTGGTTCTCCATTTATATCTTGCAGCATGGTTATCTGCAGTCTGACAGTTTTACTGTCTTAGCCACCGCAGGAAAAATTTGGAGACGATTCTAGGCTGCCAAGGGAGATGGCAGTATTGACTTCTTCAAAGACTGGGGAGAGTTTCAAGTGGGGATGGAGTACATTTCCGCCTTCCGTGGAAGCAGAGGAGAGTTTGGCACCTCTGACCTATGGATATTCAGGATTGGCCCCACCCCTCACCCAGCACCGCCTCTTCCCCTGCAGGTCAGCCACACACCCGGAGCACTGTCATCACAGCGGTCAAGTTCCTGATCTCGGACCAGCCCCATCCCATTGACCCCCTCCTGAAGAGCTTCATTGGTGAGCAGAGCGTCCCCTGTGCTCCCCCCAGCCCTCCCCGTCCCATTCAGTCCTCTTCACAGCCCTCGAACTTGGGCTGATTTTTCTTGCACATTGATGGAAGGGAGTTGGAGACGGGGGAGGCCACTTCATCCCCATGACAGCAGAGGGCCTGGGTTCAAAACCCTGTGCTTCCACTGAGTTGCTGGGTGAGCCCAGCATGCCCCTTCTCACCTCGGAGCCTCAGTTTCCTCATTTGTAAAATGGAGACACAAAAATCTGCAGTTCTAAGGTTTTGGAAACACCATGCATAATTGAGAGGGAAAAGTACTCCATGAAATGGAAAACTACCAACCTCTCAAATGCATTGGCTTCAGTGGGGAGCAAGCTGGGCAGGGCTCCAGAGACTGGCTCCCTGACTTGCCCCCTGTCCAAGGGGCCTTTGGACCTCTGCAGGACCAGGCTCACTTCTTTAGAGCTCCAAGCTTGTGGGTTTTTCAATGGATGGCACTGGAGCCAGCTCTCCTCTTCCAGGCAGGGCAACCTAGTGGACTCTGGAGAGGTTTTGGAGTCTTCCAACCTTGGATTCATATCCTGACTCTGTCACCCCGTGGATGGGTTATCTCATCCTCAGGCATAAAATGGGGATGCCAATCTCTACCTGCTGGTGCACCATTGTGTGAAACCAAGGGGTCAACAGATATGACCACACTCTAAATTGGAGAACATGTTCAGAAGCTGCAGCAATATCATCAGCAGCAACTCTCTCCTGTGTTCTGACCCAGCAGGCACACACTGCCAGCAGTCCTGTTTTACTCCGTCTTGCCCAAGCTGCCTACGGTTGGCATCCCCAGGGGCCTCTAAATGGGTATTTGGTTTTTGTTGTTGTATGTTTGAATCACAGTTTTTGAGCTCTCACTGTGTATCAAGTACCACACTAGGTTCTTTAATATATCTCATCGTAGTTAATTCAGACAGCCCCCAGTGTGGAATGTAGGAGTGGCCCCATTTTACAGATGAGGAAACTAAGGCTCAGAGAGTAGATTGAACCCAGGTCGTGCTGGTTCCCCACAGCTGTGTTCTCACAGAGAGTGGGGACCCTAGCAGCCAGCATGGCACAGTTGAAGGGGCCCAAGGCTGCCGGCCCTGGGTTAGAATCCCACTCTGCCAGGAGACTTTGTTCTCCCCACTGCATGACATCAAGGAGGCACATGATGGCAGTTTGCCGCATGTGGTGATGGTAACTCCAATCACCTTGTTAGGGTGGAGACTTCCATGTTTCTTCACTCTAAAGTTACTCTTTTTCCTTTGGAATGAATAAGTAATTTTTAGTTTATTGAAATATTCTCTTCTTTATCAAAGTTTTGCCTACTATGTTTTGCATCCATTGTGGTTTCTTGCTTGAATCAGTGATTACTGAGGGTAGCCAAATGGCAACTCTCTAATTCCATCATTCTTTCCATATTATTAGTTTGCATTCTATTTTTCAGGAAGAACTTTTTCTTCTCCCCCATTTATTTATTTATTCATATAATTATAGACTCATAGAGTCCTATTTCATTCAGTGGGTTATAATCTGTTACTCTCTTTATTTTGATTCTCAAGATTATCTCGGATTTAGCAGGTTCCCATGTTCATTGACGTGTATTCATCATTCTTGGAGCATATCCTTACATTTTGGCACAATAAGATGTTTCAGCCTATCTATTCTGCCCCAGCCCTATAATCAGCCATTAATCCAAGGAGCTCAGATTTCTTTTAGTGGAGAATGGTATTTAGAATCCAAGATCTGGACACTGTGTATGCTCATTGTTGCTGGTGTGCCACTGCTTCTATGCCCTCTCAGCAGACAGTATGTATGAGGAAATATGTGTATGAATGAATGTATGTACACAGACACACATATGTTCATGTGTTGGGTTCTGTTCCTATGCAGCACCACAGTGTTCATTGTAGCCTTCTCCCTTTCCAAATACCCTTCTCTTACAGTAGAAATCCAGCTCCTATTATTTGTAAGTTATTTATTCACTAAATTTTAGAATATACAAGAAGTAGTCTGAAAATTGCCAACCTTTATGTCTGTTTATTCAATATTTGTTTATAGTTCTTTTGTCTTTAGCCTGGGGGCATGTAATCAAAATTCTTTGTTTGGAAGTTACTTGAGTGAGTTGTTTTCTCCTTCATAACCTGGCTGATTATGTTAATCATTTAAAATATGGTTAGGTTGGGTTGTTTTTAGGGACCCCCCCAGTTCTTCATTTTGTTTATTTACTGAGTATATAAAACATTAACACAATTATTAAGAAGTCTAAATTATACAAAAAAGTATACTCAGAGAAGTGCTGATGTGACTTTGTGTAAGTTTCTTCATTTCTCTGATCTTCAGGAGCCTCATCTGTAATAATAGCAAGTTAACATTTGTAGGATCTTTGCTTTATGCGAGGCCCTCTGCTATGTGCTTTATATACTACCATGTTTTAAATCATAAATGCAGTACTATGAGATAGATACTGTTATTACCCGCATTTTACAGATGAGGACATCAAGCCTTGCCAAGGTCCAAGTTAGGAAATAGTAGAATATAGATTTGAACTCAGGCCAGACTCGAACCTACATTCTTATCTGGACTTTGAAGGCTTGTTGTACATGGTACAAAGTGTATACTCAGAGTATGTTCATCCCCACTCAGCTAGGTATGCATGACTCACATGAACCAGATATAAAGGAGATGGAGGTAGGAGGGGTTTGTTGTCTTGGCTGTGTTGTCCCTCGTCCCCTCTCCTCTTTCTGCCAGGAGAGTTCATGGAGAGCCTGCAGGACCCAGACCTGAACGTGCGCCGGGCCACTCTGACTTTCTTCAACTCAGCTGTGCACAACAAGCCCTCGTTGGTCCGGGACCGGCTGGGGGACATCCTGCCCCTCCTCTACCAGGAGACAAAGATCCGCCGGGACCTCATCCGAGAGGTGAGGCTGGGAGAGAACTGAGTGGCAGTCCTTGGGCCTGACTGATGGGGCTGTGGTAAGGATTAGGGTCCAGCTCATCAGATTACCAGGTCCCACGGCCTGAGTCAAGTCCTGCCCCTTCACTTCCCAGCTGTGTGACCCTGCCAAGGCAACCTAATCCACACTGAGCCTCAGTTTCTCCTCACAGCCAAAATGAGCAAAGGAATCACATCTGCATCATAGAGCTGTTGAGATGATTCAATGAGTTAAATCCTGCAGGTGCTCAAAACTGCCCCTGGGACACGGTGGGCACTCAGTCAATGTTGGTGACCCTTGTTATCGTCAACATTCAGCAGGTGGTCAAGGAGCGCCAACCCTGTGTCTGAGCACCAGGGTTCAGAGCTGGACCAGGCGTGGCTTCTGCACCAGGGAGGTTATGGCCTCCTGACGTAGAGAGACACGCACTGTACTGATTATTTAACTTATTTAGTGCCCAGTTGGTGAAGTAAGAATTTAAAGAGAAGAGATTAAAGATGATTTAACAGCTAAGTCATCATCACACAATGTGATAAAAAGGTCTGAACCACTTGGCATCACTGAGGAAGAAGTGACACTTTAGAGGGTTAGGAAAGTTGCCCAAAAGAGGGGACATTTGAACTGGACTTGGAGGGATGACAAGAATTTACCATTGAGAGCAGAGCTCCATGGTTAAAAGGTTCAGAGACACCAGGGTTTTTAATTCTGATTCAGCCGTTTATTAGCTCTGTGTCATTGGGCAACTTAACTTCTCTGAGCCTTAGTTTCCTCATATGGTAAATGCAGTTAATAATAACACTGGCGTCCTAGAGCTGTTATAATGCTTGACTAAAATGTCATCTGTCAAACACTCAGCAAAGTGCCTGGTACGTCATAACTGCTCAGTAGATTATAACAATGAATTCTTATTGTTATCATCACCAAAGGGCATTGCAGGCAGAGAAAAGGCATACACACTTGAGGGTAAAAAGTATGAGACACAGTACTGAACAACAGATGTGGAGTGTGCAGCAGGAACTAGGGGAGGTATTCCTATACTTTGCATTCACATCCACTAATCTGTTATCCTTCCCTCCTGCAGGTGGAGATGGGGCCCTTTAAACACACAGTGGATGATGGGCTGGACGTGCGGAAGGCAGCCTTCGAGTGCATGTACTCATTGCTCGAGAGCTGTCTGGGCCAGCTGGACATCTGTGAGTTCCTGAACCACGTGGAGGACGGCCTGAAGGACCACTATGATATCCGGGTAGGATGAGCCCCCTGCCAGACTCATGGCCACTCCATACCAACCGGACAGCCAGGTGCCAGTGGGCCTGCTGCTTGTATGTCCCCACTCCTTCCCCCAGGAAACCACATGAAAACAGCTGTATGTTTTTTTCTAATAAGAAAACAACTCAAACTCACGTCTCAAACACCTTTGGTGGGATTCTACACTGGCAAGCTCTTTGGAGGATGGCTTGACAATAACTAGAAAAATTTATAACTCTCAGACACACCCTTTGACCCAGCAATTCCCTATCTGTGAGGCTCTGGACTAACTCCTGCACACGTTCAGAGTTTCTGTTCAAGATTGTTCACTGATTTTGGGAATTGGGAAAATCTGGCAGCTACCTAAATATCCACTTACGGAGAACTGGTTCGGAAAACTGGGTGCCTCCAGTCATGGAATCCTGGCAGCATTAAAAAGAGTGAGCTGGATCTCTGTGTTCAAATGTGAAAGATGGCCAAGACCCTGAATGACAAAAGTTGTTTTTAATGGGTTTTTCCCATGCTTGAGTTGTGTCCAGGCCCCCTTTGGTGCTGAGGCGGGTGGATGGGACCTCTCTTGAGCAACCTACGGTTATCTCATCAAGCCTCCGCATTAACCTTTGGTTTAGATGCCCAGTTTGCAGGGGAGAAACCAGAGCCCTGGTTAGTTCAAGGGCACAAGGGAGGAAGTGGAGGAGCCCTAGGTCATAGCTCCTGATGTCTAACGCCATGCTCTTTGCAGCTCTACCCCCCGTTTTCCTTTGCTATGGGCTGTGTGGGGATCAGGGCAAGGTAGATAGCTGGTGGGGATGGGTAGGGCATATTGATTTCAAACAACCACCCTTTATACTAAGTATCATTTGTAGAGATTTTGCCATCTTCAAAAGAGGTCACCATTTATTCTCCTAGAGGCTGAATCCAGCTTGTAGACATGTTTAGTTGGCTCACATAGTTTTTTGTTTGTTTTTGTTTAAATCAGGTGCCAACATTTAAAAATTGAGAGATTTCATATGAAAACGGTCTTCTTTTGAAAACAGTCCATCAAGTCTAGGCCACATTCCCACCTATCCACAACCGGCTGGAGCTGCATAGCTGCTCTCTGGAGTGTGGGCTCCTTACTCCTTCCCAGCTCCCATCCAGCTCCCCTGCCTGGCCCGGTAGGCATCTGAGCTTGAGAACTGCCCCTTCCCTGATGTCTCTTATGATCCAAGTTTTTTCAGGACAACCAAGTACAGTTGGCATAGATGGTATTACCAGACTCTCATAAGGACCTGAGCAGGAATTAGTGCTAGAGTTTGGACTTGAGCTCCAAGTGTTGGGCCCAGAGTCTCTGCTCTTCCCCAGGGCTCGCTTCTTTTGGTCCTGGGTCATTTCACCAAGAACTCTGTCTCCTTCCTCCTGGGCAGATGCTGACCTTCATCATGCTTGCACGATTGGCTACCCTGTGTCCTGCGCCTGTTCTGCAGAGGGTGGATCGGCTCATTGAGCCACTCAGGGCCACCTGCATCGCCAAAGTAAGCCGCTGCCCAGCCCTGTGCACACTTATGGGTCCTCTGCAGATCTTTTGTAGTTACAATTTACCAAGAACCTCCTGTGGTACTGGTGGCATGGGAAGTGCTTATTTTAATCATCATCATCATCCTATAAAGTACTTCTTGTTACTTCTTATTCTTAACCATTGTATACACAGGGGAACAGAGGTTAGAAGTGAAGTTGGCTGAGGCTACATAGCTAGTAAATTTTGGAGCTGGATTCCAACCCAGCTCTGTCTCTATCATTCATTAAGTATTTCCTGGGTGTTGGGCTTTGTGACAAGTCCTGGGGATACAACATCAAACATGATGGACTCCCTCATCTCACGTCCTAATTGGGAAACAGAGTCTCTTAGAAATTATTGATTGATATGGAGCAGAGTTGCTGTTAGACTGGAGTGCATCAAGGGTCCACGGGAGGGATCTGGGGCCTCATGGAAACCTGCAGTGTTGAGAACAGAGCCTGGCACACCTAAGGCATGCCTAGTAAACACCTGTTGAATCAAAGAACTAATTTGGGTTTTGGAAGGGTTAAAAAATCAGTTAAAAAGAGGGCAGAGTATTTTAGATTGGAGCCCGAAGAGTAGAGATACCCATAGTGCAGTAATTTCCAAGTAGCAAAACCCTCTCCAAAAAAAATCTAACAAGGATTAAACAGATAAAATTGGTAATTTGTTAATAGAAACCTACTTTGTAAGTTTATATTTTTAACATATGATTGGTATGAAGTCAAAGAAAACAGTGGTTCTACAGGGCCATTGAGCTCTTCACAGTCTAAGTGGCCAAATATTTCTGGTTTTCTTTGAGCCATAAGGGATGGAGAAAAATCCCAGTTCACAGGGAGGAACTTGCAAATGGCATTGCAACATCAGACAACCTTTACTCACTTTCACCTGAGGCCCACACAAGTGTCACTCAGTCTGGCTGCTCAGAGGGATGCTGTTTGTCAAGCTGGGATGAGAGCTTGTCACATCCACATACCCAGTGCCTCATCCACAATTCTGAATCCTACAAAACTCTGCAAACTAAGATTTTCGTAACTTGTTTGGCACCAAAACTTATCTTGAACTGACTGGCACGAGGCTGTTTATGACCGTATTTCCCTTTTTGTGATATTCATAATATTCTTACATTTTTCATAAACTTAGTTGGGAAAATGTTAGTGCATCTGATTACAGGGTATTGTACCAGACCCATATTATCTGCACATTATCACATTATCACCTTTTCTAAAACCCCCAAAACTCCTGAATTTCAAAAGCATATCTGGCCCCAGGGGTTTCAGAAAAGAGGTGTGGACCTATGCAGTCATTTAATCCTCACAGTAGCCCTGTAAGAAGAAGCTCTTAATTATAGTTTGGGAAGTGAGGAGCAAAAAGGTGACTACCTGAAGTCACAGCTGTCACAGGCGGAGCCATCTGAACCCAGGACTGTCCAACCTCAATACCAAGCTCTTAACCATCACAGATTCTTTAGGGGGAAGAGACTAATGTTGTCTGGGGTAAGTCAGGAAGGCCTTTATTCCATAAGCAATGGGGGAATTCCTGAGATTCTATGATTAAGTGGGAGAGGGTCTGGCATGAGGAAACAGAAAGCAGGCAAGGTGCTTCTGGATGTTTACTCTCCATCTGCATCTGCAGAAAGAACGACAGATGCCTGGCTAGAAGACTGTCACAGTGATCTGTTCAGTTAAGTCCTATGGTACCAAAACTTCTTGCAGGGAAAGGAGACTAAGTGAACACTTTACAGCAATTGTCACCATTGATTTATTATCAAGAAGAAAGGTGAGTAACTTAAGATTGGTTGCTCAGAGGCTCTTTAGGTAACTTTGAAGCTGATTTGAATGACAAAGAACCACCCTGTTGGGAAGTTAGCCGGTGTAAACGCTCAGAGTTGGAAGAAACCATCCGGAGGTAGAGTGCTATAGGTAGAGTGCCATAGGTGTTGGAGAGGAAGCTGAAGAGGCTGCAGTGTGAAGACAGGCTCAGTAAAGGATGGCTCATTGTTGTTTCTCACTTTAGGTCAAAGCTGGTTCCGTGAAGCAGGAGTTTGAGAAGCAAGATGAACTGAAGCGCTCTGCCATGAGGGCAGTGGCCGCCTTGCTGACCATCCCAGAAGTGGGGAAAAGCCCCATCATGGCCGACTTCTCTTCCCAAATAAGATCCAACCCTGAACTTGCTGCCCTCTTTGAAAGCATCCAGAAGGATTCTGCTTCAGCCCCCAGCACAGACTCAATGGAGCTCAGCTAGTCCTACCCTAGCCCCTAGATGGGCCCTTACTCAAGAGAAGGGGACCCACTCAAGCCTAAGGCCTCAGCCTCACTTTCCCGCCACCCAAGGCCATTGGCCTTTACTTACAAACTTTCATTTCCCTGGAGGCCGTCCTGCTCCTGTCTGGGGTTTACAGTGCCTTCTCCAGGGATCCCAGCTCATTGGCCCCCAACCTGAAGCTGTAAGGCTGCCAACAGTCGGGCCCTTTAACTCAGGACAGTCATTCAAACTAACAGGGCAGAATTTTCCAAGCCTTTCACACTGGTCTGTCTGGTTTCTTCAAGCTGGGGAGGCCCTGCCTCACAAAGTACTTAGTATTTAGACATATTCTGTGCCCACAGCGGTGAGAGGTTAGGAGGCAGCAGGCTGGCCTTTCTTCCCACTAGAGTCCCAGATTTGTCACACCACTCATTTTTTCAATTCATGATCTGAAATACCAAAAATTTGTACTTTGGCTGAGCATCTTAAAATCTCAAATACTTCTGAGTTATTCACATTTTAGAATTATAAAGACAGGATTTCTAATTGGTAGTAATGCATCAGAAATACTCACTTGCAGGGGGGATAGTGTGGGTAGAGAATTAAAGCTAATGTGGTTTTCTAATTTCCAAACTCTTACATAGTAAACTGAGAAACAGTAAAGCACGAAAGTACAAACCATGTTTCGTGTTACACGACCTAGGCATAACCAGCTGGTTTGTCCTGAGGAAAGTTTTGAACATGTCTAGTATCAAGGACACAAAATCAAGCAATAGGCCAAAGAATCTTTTGTGCTATCCCAGGTTAATAAAGGAGAGATCCTAAATTACAACTGTTTTCTCTGCACAATTCCTCTAGTTAGTAGTCACACCACTTATCAGCATATGGCCCCGTCAATTTAAAGGAATAATGAAAATGACCAATGATTTACTTAATGTCTCATACTAGGTCTTGAATAGGAGGCAGTCAACGTGTTACTTTATCTACTGAAACTAAGAGCCTTAAAATCCAGTCATGGCTAGTGCACCAAGGAAATTATAACCAGTGTATTATTTCTGGCTCAGCTGACCAGGTGGTGAAACTCCCCCCCCCCCCCGCCCCTCTCATACACTAAAGCAGTGATCTTCAACCAGTATGCCCCACGAATTTTTAAAATATGCAATACCCATTTAGTCAGATACTGACCTCTTTTCCTTTAGATTGTCAAATTTAAAAGTGACAATAGCCATCCAGTATGAATCAAAATTATACCTTTTTGTTAGATCAGCGAAAAACATTTATGTGCCAGTTTGTGCGCCATGAGATGAAAAATGTTGAAAATCATTGTACTGGAGTACCACATGCCATATACCATGTGACTTATACTGCAACTTACTACCATTTCTTGGGGTATTGTAACCTTAGAATTAAAACTTAGCTAGATCTGCCCTCGCCAGTGTGGCTCAGGTGGTTGGAGCATCATCCTGTAAACCAAAGTTGCTGGGTTTGATTCCCAATCAAGGCACATGCCTGAGTTGTGGGTTAGGTCCCTGTTGGACACATGCAGGAGGCAACCAATCAATTCCTTCCCTCCCTCCCCCTCTCTAAAATCTATGGGCCTGTCCTTACGTGAGGATTTTTTTAAAAAAATACAAGCTTGATTCTAGCTATTGTGGTTGAAAAGGAGTTTGAGTCAAATTCTGAGTCCCAAGAGGCCTGGTTATTACCCGTTAAGAATCCCACGCCTGTGGAAATTATGCCTGAAGCAACAAGCTGGGAGAATTTATATAAGGCAAACTGAAAGCCATCTTCAAACATCTAGGGCCGATCATATATAGAGGGATTTGTGTGTCATCCTGTTTTGTACTTTTGGTCAAAAGCTATGTGGCGGTATTTCAGCACTAAAGAATTTAAGGGAGTAAGAAAGAAAATCACTTGGATCCTTTCACGCATATTCTCAGTCTTCACAAGAACCACACAGAGTAACCTATCCAGCTTTAAAGTGAGGCTAAGAATGACTTCTTGATATGAGCTGCAAGGTCCTTCAGTTGCAGGTCTCAGAACCTACGCTGGTCTGTGCACTCAAGGCTGGTGCCCTGTGAAGTATCAAGTATCCTCTATAAACCTCTTCCAAGTGGCAGATTCTGGAGCATTAATGGGCAAAAGAACAATCTCTGTGACAAGCTGTCAAAGCAACTGGAGAGTAAAACCAAGAGCAGAAATGCCAGATGGCAGAATTTTAAGGTTTTATTAACACAAATACAATGTGTACACAATCTGTCTATTCATTTTCTTCACTGCGCAGCCTGGCATTGGGATTGGTGACTCTGATGGCCAGCTGGGCCGCTCTTTCCACAATGGCTTTGCGGTTCTTCGAGGAGACGTTGTGAGCAATCTCAGCACAGTAAGATCTGGAAGAGAATCCACAGGTAGATAAGGAGGCAAGCCAGCCCAGAACACACACTTGTGTGTTTCACTGGGAAGGCAATGGCTTTGGTCACTTCACATCCACAGCCACAACACTGAGCATAGATGGCTGCTGCATAACACCTGCACGTCCCCAAATCCCAGATAACTAGCAAGGCTCTTAAAAGTCTCTGCTGCAACAAAAACAAACAACAAAAACAAAAAAACCCCCACTTTCACAGTTCCCTCTTTTTTAATCCTTACTGCAGCCTTGTAATCCTAGTATTGCCTCCATCTCACAGACAAGGACCACAGAGGTGGAAGTGAATTTTCAAAATCACATATTCAGCAATGGACAGGGCCAGGATGGCTCAGCCCCAGACTCCAGGTTCAAAAATTCTCCGTCTACCTTTCTGGACAAATGGCCCAACTCAGGGAAGTCTCAAGAAGCTTGCACTTGCTTGTGAAAAGTTTTGGAGCTATAAGTAGCAGAGCGGACCCCACCAGTCTGATTAATCGAAGGGGTCTCTGATCCAGACCATAAACATTTACTTGTTCAATTGCTGCAGGTAAAATTCACGTTGAAAGTAACATTGCCTCAAGCCACCCAGTGAGTAGCAACACATAACATTTCCTGAACACAGGTGCTGGGAACTGGCCCCATCCCCAATGTGATAATTGGTCTAATGAACACATTTCAGTAAGGGGGTGATCTGATTCCATAAAGGCAGATTAAGAAAAGATATTACCCCTGAAGGAATTTCAGCAAAAAAGAGAAGACTGTAATGTATCTGATCAAATAAGACAATGGGTATATACAGTTCTTTTTAAGATCTCTGTAAGAAAATAGCTTAACAGCGTGACAAGCAAAATGGACAAAAAACTTGTTACATATAAAGGAGTCCACTCAAGCTCAAAGTAGCTACATTTTAAAATGTTTCCATAATCACTGTTTTCAAGATTTAAGTTGTATTACTGTCTTTTTTTAAAAAAAATTTTTGGGTCCTTGTCCATACCTGTTTAATAATCACAATCACACTGTACATATTTTAAATACTTTCCCTGCTGCTTAGGCATTTTCCATACATCACAATTCTTAAATGTGTAACACTCCACTCTGTTTTGTACTCCTACCATCCACCAACTTTATTCACAATTGTTCAGTTACTGTTGCAATGGTCATCTTATAAAGTTTCCCTGCTTTTTACTTATTTTTTAAAAGACTGCTGGTTTGCAGGCTGGCATTCAATCCACTGAGTCACACCAGCCAAGGCTGCTTTTTAATTAAAGAAATGCCGAGAAATGGAACTTGTGGATTAAAAGTCATGGACTCAGTATTTCCATGGCTCTTGATACTGCAAATATTTGCACCTCAATCATTTTTTGCTACACATGTAATAAAACTGCATCTTTCTGTCATAATTCTCTATCAACCTACTTACTGCAGATTGGGCACCTACCATTGTTAATCCTTACTCATCCTTTCTACAAAAAATTTCCAGCATTTCAATGTCTGGTTAAAGCTCCAACCTAGAAACTCAACCAAAAATGGTTTCATTCATTTTTATTACTATCTTCAATCGCTTTAGCTAAAAGGTATTTGTAAACGTGTGTACACAGAGATGTGACCAGCTGTGTATAAATCACTTGCCACAAGCAATCTTTTCTCAGCCATTGCCCTGGTTTTGGCCTAAGCCAACCAAAAGTCTCACACAGAGTTCACTGAGTGTCTAACTTCCTTAGAACAATGAGAAAGTAATGCTGCTATCCCTCCATGTGCTCTTGCACCTATCAGCTTTGTCTAAGTACTCTCTGTCTGCAGTCCTCCTCCTTTTCTCCACCTCTAATCACAATGAGCCCTAAGTCAGACAGCAACTCCTCCATTATTGCAGCATTCTGAAACATGTGGCCCCAGTTTAAGTGCTCTTTAGGTCTGAGGCTATCCCCCATACAAATAAAGCAATGTTCTGGAAATGACTGCCCAAAGTCCTCCTCTTTCCAGGTCTTGGGTCTCTACACTTTTTAGGACAAGTCATAGCCCCTGTCCCCCATTCTGAAGTCCCGAACAAGCATTAACTATGCTCCTGAGAGAATATACAACTTCTCCAAGTGCATCTGAAAAGTCTTGAGTCCCTCCCAAAAATGCTCGCAGAGAGCCACACTTTTGACATCTACACCCACAGATGGGAACCAGCTTACTTGTTGCACATCAGCAGCACTTCAAGCTCCTTGACATTGTGGACCAGGAATTTTCGAAAACCACTGGGCAGCATATGCTTTGTTTTCTTGTTGCTCCCATAACCAATGTTTGGCATCAAGATCTGGCCCTTGAATCTTCTGCGCACCCTATTGTCAATACCTCTGGGTTTCCGCCAGTTCCGCTGAAAGAAAACACACAGGTGGGTCAGTGTCTGTGCAGACTGCCAACTCTTCCTTCTGGAGCAAAAAAAAAAAAAGGGGGAGCAAATGTAAAGGAAATATAACAGTAGTTGTCTTTGGGTAACAGGATTTCACTACTTATTATTTTTTGGTGAAGAAAAATAGGCTCTTGTATTTGCACACCTGGAACACAGACCCATATCCACTCCTAAGTAAAGGAAAAGCAGACCACACACCAATGGAACATTGGGGGATCGTGCACAAAGTGAGAAGAGCATGGATTTCAATACTACACTCAAGACCCAGGTTTTCTCACCTATAAAACAAGGATAATTTACCTCTCGTACCATCATAAGACCACCTGAAATATGATACAAATATAAGCCTCTGGACACCTCAAAACAGCCAAGTGTGCTTTGTTATTTAAATTTCAATTTACACATCAAGAGGCTGAGTGCCAGTAAGTGCCTGGGTTTCTATAGTGAGCTCTTCCACCAACCAGATGGTTGGTTCATCTGTCAAAGGTACTCTTCTAGGAGCTGTCAGAAATCCAACAGCCAATTCAGGAACCCTTTTCACCCCAACACACACACTTCCACTTCCACCCAGGGACCGTATACCTTAATTTTGACATATCGGTCTGACTGGTGCCGAATGAACTTCTTGGTCCTCTTTTTGACAATCTTGGGTTTCACGAGGGGTCTGAGGGCAGCCATGGTGCCTTCAAAAGAGAGATACTGTGAAACAAAAAAGTCCCAGAAGGACGCTTTCCTTGCCCAGGGCTTAAATGTTGTTGCAGAGTGTCTTCCAATCACCAGCTACGGAGCAAGCGGGGAATGGAATGGGTACCTCTGCCAGGCTTGCTTTTCCTCCCGTCTCCGAAGCTGGCAGAATATTAGTCATTCTCCAGACGCGATCCTGGGAGGTTGGGAGTCACCTCACTCACTCAAAGCCAAGAAAGAATGCCAACAGCTGACTTAAAACAAACCGGCACCCAAAGGTTCTCTGCCTGCAAAGGGACAGCACATCCTACTTCACCAAGTAGGGGCGGTCTGAACCCCGATGTGGTCCAGTTTCCTTTTAGTTATGCGGAACTTTGACAAGCTACAGGAACCGGAGTTCCTTTTCTCACCTGTAAAATGGAGATGCTATTGCCCATTGAATGCTTGTAGTGCCCAGACGCTTAGTAAAGAGAAATCTCTAGATGTCCTTCTAAAACGCCTCTGGACCTTTGAATACAGTGTTCTACCTGGAGATCACCTCAAAAGTTACTTTCCTCAAGGTGCCATCAATAGCCCTCTTTATATTTAAACTGCAGCATCCTTTGCTGTCATCAGAGCCATCGACTTCCTTGTTCAACGCACAGTAGGTACTCAGTGAACTGACATCCACTCACCGCCTGCCCCCCGCCCTGCTTTCCTCAAAAACAAGGATACAGTTTCAAATTTCCAGAGATCCTGACCTGCTACCACAATTTCTGGTAACTGAATGGGTTTCTTTCGGGGGTGGGGGCGCAGTTCCGCCACAGCACTAACTAGGGCCTGAAAGTGGAAGGAAGAGAGCGTCGGGCAACTGTAACAGGTTTTGGGTTTTTATTTCTATAACACGTGGTCAGATATCGCTACTCGAAGTAATTCGACCGCTCGAGTCCTGGCCGGTGAGGCTGCAAGCCCCGGATCGCTCCATGCCCCGCAGGAGCCCCCTTAATTTGGGTTCAAACAAGCGGTCCGCACCTCAGCCTGATCCCAGGCGGCCACCGTAGGCGCGCAAGTGGGCCTAGGAAACGAACCTCCATTACCGGCCGCATCACTTCGTTCTGTTCCAGTCCGCGCTTCAGCAAGGCGAGAAAGACAATACACACTGAAACGACCACTTTAAAGGACAGGTCTCCTCGCCAGGGGGCGATGGGGCCTAATGGGGGCCGCACAGACACAGATGACCAGTGATTAAAACTCACCAAGTAAGAGATGGATGCCACCTCCGTAGACAGCGCTGAGGAAGAGAGAGGAAGTGGGCTCGTGAGGTCAGATGCGACTTGACCTCTGAGTCCTGGCAGGGAAAAGGCAAGGACTTCCGGCTCTTGGTCGTTCAAAAATAAAGAAACGTCAGACAAATAATACTTAAAAAAAGGCTACGGTTACCTGTCTTTCATAGACATTAATATACAGGAGTAGTCCTGAAAATTTTTCATACCTGCCGTTGGGACTCCGTAGAATATTTGGAATTCTTTCTGAGCTTCTAAGACCTCGCCAGGGCACCCATTTCCGCCAGAAGCTGAAGCCACTCCTCCAGCTTTTAGATTACTTTCTCCCTCGTTTCTTCTGCTCCAAAGCGCGCCTCTTAGTGGCCGGGAGGAAACAAAACAGGGACTTCCTAATTCCTCTCCTGAATTTGTAAATAACAATGAGACTATGTATAATAGTTATAACTCAGTTGGATTTACTAGCCTTCCCACAATTCTATGAACTAGATCTATTTTCCCCATTTTACATATGTGGGAAGTGAGGTTTGGAGGTTTGACTTAAAAAATCCACATTTGTAACTGCCAAGTTTTTCACTGTTCTTGGTTGGTTGGTTTGCGGTTTTTTCTAGCTTTTGGTTTTAAGATTAGTGCAAAAATTAAATTTTAGAAGGGGAAAAAAATGCCCCATGATTCCACAATACAGATGTCATTAGTGATCTTGATAGGAGTAATTCCAGAGGCCAGATGGAGACAGAAGCTAAACTGGATGTGTTCTTAACTGCAAAGAAGTGAGAAGGGAAGAGAGTAAGTATTGACAACTCCTTCATGAGTTTTGACTGTGAAGGGAAGGGGAGTTTGAGAAAACCCAGGGAAGTGAAACATGAAATGTGAAGTCAGTTATCTTATCCCAGGTCACACAACTGGCAAACAGTAGAGACTAAACCCCTGCTGTGTCTGTGAGTGCACCACACCTCATGAATCCCGCTTCCCCCGTGGTCTGTGGGAAGTCATATGGGATGTGGAACATGGGAGCACTGTGTTAATAGCTGCCTACATGATGTGCATCATGAAGGAAAAGGATGGAGATCAGATGGGTTTAGGCAAAGAGCTCATGGACCAGAGAGCATGCTTCCAATTGCAAAAGACCCAAGAGATTTGGAAGTAGCAATCCAATTGTTCAATTTTGGGGGTATGAGAGACATGATGTTTCTCAGAGGAGGGCACAGGGCTCCCCACAATGCCTGCTACTTCCTCATGGGCACTGAGATCCCAGGATGAGAGGCTGGAGGTGCCACGCAGGCATCCATCAACATCCCAGGGAATGTGCCTGCTGCTGTCTTACCCCAGGCCCAGGACCCTAGCTTTTCCAAACACCCCTCTGGCCACATCTTCTGAGCAAGAAATCATATTAACTGGATCACAGTGACATGAGAAAAACTTCAACCTGGTTTATTTCAAAAGGGCAGGGAAGCACTCAACAGCTGCACATCTTTTCCTGGACACATCTGCCTCTGAGACTCCGGACACTTCTCCTCTAGAGAGAAATTATTTCTTTTGTCTGGCTGTTTGACACTCCCAGCATCTATGGCTCTGGGCTGCTAGCGACACTGGTCCCCAGCCCCAGGATGGCTGGGTCTGACAACACCTGGGCATTTTAGTTGAGGTAGAAGACCTTGGGGGCATCGTAATAGGCACAGGTCATGTAGTTCCTGTTCCTAATGGGCCACCAGTGGTTGGAGTGGCAGGCAGCTGAGTAGACACTGGGCCTCTGTTGGATACAACTGAATAGCGCCAGGCTCCGGTCCACAGTCATAGTGGGCAGGTAGAGCTGCAACTTGTCCAGGAGGTGACCCGGCCAGAAGAAATTTGGGTGGGTTTGCTGTGGACCACGGGGCCTCTTCGCCTTCAGCTTCCTGGAAAAGGAGAAGACACAGGGAAGATTGTCGTGGTAGACAGGCTGGGGTCAGGGCTCTTCAGCAGAGCAAACCAACTGTGAGTATAGAGGAGGTGTAACATTGTGCTAAGTGCCTAGTATCTCAGTTTTTCTCTACAGTTTCATGTGGTAGGTTCTGTTATCCTGTTTACCTTAAGTGAGTTCCCCAAGGCTACACAGTGACCAAGTGGCAAAGGGTAAGCTAGACTTCTGATCAGCTGCCTCTAAAACCCAAACTTTTAAGGGTCTGCTATCTGTTCTCTAGAAGAAACATTTTAATATGGCGTTCAGAGTACTCTTTGGAGCCTGCATTAGCTGGATTAAATCCCTGCTCCACCATTTTAACAGATGTGTGACTTTAATAAGAAATAAATTTTTCTGTACCCGTTTCCTCTTCTGTAAATTGGCCAGTTAAGAGTAGCTTCATAGGATTGTTGAGAGGGTTTAAATGAGTTAATACATGGAAAGCACCCAGAGCAGAGTCTGCCTGGCACTCTAAGTTGTCTTCCTGCCTCAGCTCCTAGGCATTATGCCCCAGATGCTGTGCTAAGGGCACATGAAACATGCAGAGTCCCAGGCACCTCTACAAAGTGAAGCTGGGCCTCCTCCCACCTAGGTCCCTTCCAGAATTAGATGATTGCTACAGACCTGGTGAATTCCTCAAACTCTTTAAAGTGTATTTTCTTGATTTCCTTTGGTGGTTTCCTAATGGATAAGAGAGAAAAGTATCTTGTCGGGAGAGGGGACATCCAGGTTAGTGGGGTCCCAGTGAGTAGGTTGGGGCCCTCAGGGATATTCCCATATCTGTGTCCAAACCAGAGCTTTGAAAGGAGAATTTTTTCTCTCTGGGGTGGGGCCCTGACTGTCCTTCCATGCTTCAGTGGAACATACTGTGGGCTTGGATCAGCCAGACCTGGGCTCATAACCTGGCTGGCTGGGTGACTCTAGGCACGCCGCTTCCCCTTTTAGAGCCTCGGGTTCCCAATTTCCCAAAATGGAGATTAGTTATGAAAGATGCTCAATAATCTGAATCATTTTGGGTTCCTGGCTTCCTCTTCCTGTGCCAGGACTGAATCCAGCCTTAGAGATAAGGATGGTAAAAACTAACTTTCCAAACCCTGGGCCTGGCAGATATCACTAATCAGCCACAGCACTCTTTTCCAGCAAGCCTGCATTCAGCCTCAGAATCTTCCACAACACAGTCTAAGTAGCAACATGAAACCAATGTCCATCCCTGCCTTAGGCGATCTCTCTTCATCCTTTATAGCTGCGGCCTACCTAAGCATGGGTAAGAGGCCCTTTCTGTTTCCACTCGCTTACTAGGTTCACAGTTCAGGAATTGGTGCCAGCCACCCAGGGACTAGAAGGCAGTCACGAAGGCATCAGGAAGGATCCTCTAGGCCACTACCACCTGCCTGGCTCATGCTCAGTTTTTGTCATCAGGAGTTGTGGACAGGCTTTACTTGCAAGCCTAGGCCACTTCTTCACTTGAGAATATTCTGACAACAGCCATTGCTCAAGTACCAACTACCTTGCAAAACACCATGCTAAGAAGTTTAATGCAATTTTTTCTCTTGTTCTCATTGTGTATGGTAAGAGCTGTTATGCCCATTTTACAGATAAAGATGCTGATGCTCAGAGAGTGAAGTAACTTGTCCACCTGATTCGCGGTTTGTCTGATTTCCACTCTTTTCTGCTGCATCTCACCCATCCCTTCTGGCCATAGCATACCACCCCAGTGAGCAGCTGGCAAGGATCCAGAGTATGGAGCCCCTCCCCCATTAGGGTATCCAATCAGCTGTCCCTTCCTTCTCCGAGGCTGGCCCCAGCCCTCTGCAGGATGCTGCTTGTTCTCCAATCTGTTGTCACCCATGGATGCTGGCCCATCACCGGCCTATGTTTCACCTCCTTCCAAAGAAGAACATTTATTTTTCTTACTTGTTCCCTCTCTCCCTGCCCCCCACTTCCTTTTTTCCTTCCCTCCTTCCCTCCTTCCCTCCCTCCTTCCTTCCTTCCTCTTTCCTTCTTTCTTTCTTTCATTTTCTTCATTTCCTTTCCTTTCTCTTCCCCTTCCTTCCGTCCTTCCTTCCTTCCTGGCTGCCTGCCTGCCTGCCTGCCTTCCTTTCTGTTGTTTTGAGAGCATGTTTATTAAAGCTGGGGACAGTTAAACAAGTAAGGACTTAGGGTAGAAGAAGCTTTAAGAGAGAGCCTAGGCAGGGCTGTTTGACTCACTGCAAAGTCAGGGAAAAGGGGGCCTTGGAGACAGGTTTGGGGATTAGCCCAGGACAAGCTGTCATGGCTCATTGTTCCCTGGGTGCAAACCTCTGGGGACACAGAGTTTAGGAATGCATGCCTGAGAGGGAAGAAAGGTGTGGGTATGCTCTCAGGAGGGAGAGCGCAGTGTGCCCTGGGTCAAGAAGGACATTTTCTTAGAGAGGACTCAAGTTGGCCTGAGGTAGTACCCATTGCAGAGTTCTTTTCTCCTCCCAGCACAAGCCCCCTTCTTGCCAGAGAAGGTGGGGCAGGGGAAGGGCTGCCCCCTGCTGTCCTTTGCAGCGCCCCAGACACTGGGCTCATAATTGGTGAAGGGGCCTCACAATTCTCTAGGAAGGCACTCTTTTTAATCTTTTTCAGAGAGCTTGGGATCATGTAGGATGTGTTTGAAGGATAGCTGTGTGGGAGTGAGGCAAGGAGGCTGTGGACATATATATGTCAGGGGTGACACTGGGGACTGGCCAGGCTAGGTGACTTGGTTAGACATGCTGGGTTAAGGCAGAGACACTGGTACAATGTGACATCCCCAGTGTGTCAGCATCCCAGCTTCTATAGCTGAAGTACAGCAGCAGGGCAGGAGGCAAAGGGAAAGGGGTAGGGGTCTGACACTCAGCTTGTCAGTCTTCTTAGCCGCAGGCTCTTTGAATCCCATGGACTGCAGCAGGGCCTGAATTGGGCTGAAGGCCTTAAAGTCTGAGTAGTAGCCTCCTGGCTGCCGGATTGGGAGCACCTGGTCCTTCTGGAAAATGTTCTTGTCTCCTGGGTACAGCAGGGCTGTGAGCAAGAAGAGACACATGGCCTATCAGCCCAAGACTCCTCCATCCCCCAGCCTTTGAGGCAAAGGGCAGAGGAAGGCTTTAAGTAATAAGAAGAAGTCACATTTTTGTTTAAAAAGATTTTTCTTATGCACATTTTTTAACTTTTAATTTTTAAATGATTGTAGACCCAAAGTAAATTGCAAAAATAGTACAGAGGGTCCCTTAGACCCTTCCCTCAGCTTCCCCCAGCTGTGACATGGCATATATAGGCAAACCTCATTTTACTGCACTTTGCTTTATTATGCTTCACAGGTGGTACTTTAAATTTTTTTTTTTTTTTACAAATGGAAAGCAAAACCCTCCACCGGTAAAAAGATTATGACTCGCTTTATTGGGATACCTGTTTTATTATGGTGGTCTGGAACTGAACGCACAGTATATCCGAGGCATGCCTGTAACTGTAGTGCCAGATCAGGAAATAGAGTTGGTGTCATACTGCTAACTGCACTAGAGACAATGGAGCTTGTTTATAACCAGGTCGGCAATGGCCCCCAGGGCTGGGGTGCAATTAGGATGGAGCTTGAGGCCCCATACCCCACTCTGCAGGGGGAGTCCTTATCAGGAGTCCCAGGGGGAAAGAGGAGGATTCCCCCAAGACTTCACTAGGTTAACTTGTAGTTGATGGCAGTTTTCTCCTTGATTAGAATTAGCCTCACAGATAGCCTTTTCTAAGTACAGTACATCAAAAACACTGGGCCAGGGTCTCCATCTTCCTGCAACTATGGAGCAGTTCTTGTCCTGAGAGGGTAACACTGGAAGAGCTCATGTTCTAGAATTGGTGGAAGGTTATTAATATTGGTTATCTTGTGGGAGGGCAGGGATTGTGCAGATGAGAAAGAAGAGGGAAGGGTATATGCAGGCAGCATTTACATTTTAAAGTTTTTTGTTTTGTTTTGTTTTGTTTTGTTTTCCCTGGCTGGTGTGGCTCAGTGGATTGAGCACTGGCCTGTGCACCGAAAGGTCGCCAGTTCAATTCCCAGTCAGGGCACATGCCTGGGTTGTGGGCCAGGTCCCCAATGTTTCTCTTACACATTGATGTTTCTCTTCCTCTCTGTTTCCCTCCCTTCCTCTCTCTCTAAAAATAAACAAATAAAATCTTTAAAGAAGATGGTGGATCTGCAAAACTGCTGCCTATATTCTTAAATAAATAAAGTTTTTTTAATACTCACCCGAGGATATACTTATTGATTTTAGAGGGGGGCGGGGAGAGAGAACCATCGATGTGACAAGAAAACATCGATCAGTTGCCTCCCACATGCACGTAACTGGGGATCGAACCCTCAGCCTAGGTATATGCCCTGACGAGGGATCAAACCCGTGCCCTTTTTGGGTACAAGACAATGTTCCAACCAACTGAGCCACCCAGTCAAGTCACAGCATCAACGTTTTAATAAGGTATATAGGGTTTTAAAAAATTATATTTAAAAATATACAGGGTCTGGCCCTAGCTGGTGTGGCTCAGTGGAATTAGCACCAGCCTGCAAACCAAAAGGTCGCCACTTCATTCCTGATCAGGGCACATGCCTGAGGTGCAGGCCAGGTCCCCAGTTGGGGGCATGCAAGAGGCAACTGATCGATATCTCTCACACATCAGAGTTTTTCTCTCTGTCTTTCTCCCTCCCTTCCCTCTCTCAAAATAAATAAAACCTTTTAAAAAATAAAAATACAGGGTCTGGCAGAAGAAAGGCTTGCTTGAGTGTGGCTGGTAGGGTAATAATATGAATGTAATCATTTATAATTTTAATTTGAACATTTCACCTAAAATGTCATATAGTGTGCTTGAGTATGATATTATTAAGTTACAGAATTACATGCTTATGATTTTGTAATAAAAAAGAGCATTATTTGTGCCAGATCTTGTATATACATGATTTTAAATAATTAAAAATTATTTACAGAAATAATTTTGTGTAAATGGAAAAGAAAAATAGGTTTGTAGGAGGACAGTCACCGAAATATTAATGGTAGTCAACTCAGCTGGAAGGGGGAGTTATTTTTATGTTTTGAAAAAATTTAAGTGAACAAGTACTATCCATAAAATAAGGGGGACAAAAACAATGAAGTTATAGTCACTGGGAGAGGAAAAATGTCTCAGTATTCTAGGATTCTCACCCATGAGCTTGAGACCTAGAGCCTGAGCTTACCAATTTCTAGTCTAGAACACAGACTTGGAAGTCCTGATGCTTGTGCTTCTTTGTCTACAGCAGAGCAGGCCTCTGTCATAAAGACAGCCAACAGGTAGTGGCCAGGACAGTGGAACTTGTGCACCTGCAGAGTTCTAGAGGAGAACAACAAAACTCGCTGGCTGTTCTTCCTCTCTTCTTTCTCCTTCTTCACAGTATCCCCACCACAGGCCACAGAGGCTCTAGTCAGAGATGGACTAGAGTCTTTTCCATCTAGGCCAATCAGGGGCAAAAGGAAGCCCATCCATGGATGCTTCTGTGTGCCCATGAATAGGAGATCCTAGCAACAGAGGAAGATCACAGACTTGGGAGCTGGCAAAAGCCAGCAGTGGATAGAATCAGTAGTGGCTTGATGTTCTGGCAGGGACAAAGAATCCACATCCAGAAGAAAGACCTGACCCAAGTAGTCCAGGGTGCATGGCAAGCCTGCCTACATTGCAGAAGACAGCTGAAGCCCCTCCACTAACCAAGATGAGGAGATGTAAAGAATTAGGGAAGACAAGGCCTCCTGAGGAAGAAGAAAGGAAGGATGATTTGGTGAAACATCAGTGCCCAAAGCTGAAGCATCTCAGGTCTCTGCCCTCCCAGCCCAAGGCAGGCAGCATGTGCAGGAGACAAAGGCTCTTTAGGTTGGTTTGTTCCTGAAGGTCCCTGGCCACATCCTCCTGGATAGACAAGTTATGGTATGAATTGTGCATCCACCCCCAAATTTATATGCTGAAGCCCTAACCCCCAGAACCTCAGAATTTGTATTTGGAGACAGGGCTTTTCGAGAGGTGATGAAGCTAAAATGAGGCTGTTAGGGTGGACCTGAATCCAATCTAACTACTGTCTTTATAAAGGAAATTTGGGCACACAGAGAGATACTGAGGTATGTGTGCACATAGAAAAGCCCATGTGAAGAGGCTGCCATCTGCAAACACAGAATTGAGGCTTCAGAGGAGGCCAATCTTTCTGGCCCCTCAAAATTGGGCTTCTGGCCTCTGCAACTGTGAGGAAATAAATTTTCTGTTGCTTAAACCATCCAGTCTGAGGTATTTTGTTATGGCAGCTCTAGCAAAAAAATTAAGATCCTAGGTCTTATACATTTAGCAGTTGTTTCCTTCTGCCTGGGGAAAAACATGGAAATAATCAATTGCGACTGTTAACTCTTGTTCTCGGGTAAGTCACACCACTCTCTGCGTGCTCTTTCTCAGAAAACTCCATTTCCCAGTGTGGCCACAGCTTCTGAAAAGTTCCTATGGAGAAACCTCTGCCCTCAAGGAGCTTGCTGTTCGTGTTTTTTAAGCACAGAGAGGAACCCGCCCGTTAAATTTATAAATTCATCAATTTGAGAGGCCAGCATTGTTCTGTGGTCATCAGGGAAATATGGGGGTACTCCCTGCCCCTACCTCTCGGAAGCACACACTCTACCCAGCGATGTGGAGGGTTTAGGTCTGTTTGGATGTATGAAAACACAATTCTTCCTCCAGGCAGAGTGTGGAACCAGTATGGAAATCTCAGCGTTGAGTCCTGTTGTCTGAGCAGAGAGCAAAGGGCCCCAGCAGAACCTGACTTCTGGTGTATTTCTACCTCAATGTTGCAGAAGAACCAAAAAACTGGCCTGGCTGAGGGAGGCAATTTTGGAAAAGCCCAATACACTGTAGCAGTTTGTCCCCTCAATCAAATCTCCCTCTTTGAAACTGAGATTGTTCCTTTATGCTCAACTTCAGTGCTTCCTTGCCTAGAACTCCTGTCCTTGGACCTTCCTGCTCCAGAATGCCAAGTTCAGTTGGGGAACCCAGACCTCCATGCCCATGGAACTTGTGGACCTACAGGATTCTAAAACTCCCATCTAACAGCAAAAGAAGGTTGACTGTTCTTTCCTCCCTTCTTCCCAATGTCCCCACCATAGGCTACAGTGGCTTGGCTGGGTGCATGTCAGCTGCGGAGGGACAAACCTCAGGTAGACATCTGAGGCATCTTTCTGGGGCCAGCCACCAAAGCCTTTACCTCTTATGAGGATGTCCTCTGTCAGCGGGAGGCCGTAGTATTCACAGAGCTTCCTGCACTGCAGGTAGACCAGAAAGTTGTCCCTACGGGACAGATTGATGAGCTCATTCATCTCTCCACAGATGGTGGATGGGAGGCAGTGGTCGTCAACATGCTTATTCCTACTGTGCACCCAACGGCACTGCTCCCTGTCCTGGATAAAGGGGATCGTGACCTGCAAAGAGAATAACAGTTGGCACACACTCCCTTCACCTTGCTATTTTTCTCCTGGCTCGAATGCTGACAAGCTACCTTTCCTCATAAGACTCCCAGGAGGAACATTGGCAAATAATGCACAGTGGAACCCAAGATCAGGTTCTGAAGTCAGTGACTTGGGAGAAAAATCACATATGTTCAAGGCTACTCTTGAAGAGCACTTGAATGGTCAGCACATGTGGAGAACCGCATGCACAGACCTATGTACAGATGTGCACACATGATTGTATAATACATACAGTAAGGTACTGTGCAACTGCCCCACATGTGTCCTACTGAAACATTACATTCAAGTGTCTGGCTGCATGAGAATTTAAATTAGGTGCAGCCATCCGTGACTGTGAGGTGGAAGCCACATGTTAAGGAGGGCAGAGTGAGGTAAAAGAGGCCTGGGGAGGGTGTAGCCACTTTTGACCTTCTTATTTATTCCTTTACAAAGAAAGAAAAAAAATCTATCTTTTTAAAACTTCTAAAGCCAGAATCAGTGAAGTACAGCTTATAGGCTAAATCTGGCCCATCACTTGTTTTTATTAATTAAGTTTTATTGAAACACAAGCTACATTCATATATTTAGGTGTTGTCTGTGTTTGCTCTTGTGCTCCAATGCCAGAGAAGACTAGTTGTAACAGAGACAATAGGGCCCACAAAGCCTAAAACATTTATTTTCTGGCTCTTTACTGGGAAAGTTTGCCATTCACTGCTCTAACATTCTGGGTTTTCTTGTCATGCAACTAAATTAGATCTTAACTGGTATAGCATTTACCAATACCTAACATTTTATTATATCTATAACATTAAAATATGTATCTATAGCCCTGGCTGATGTGGTTCAATGGATTGAGCACTGGCCTGAAAACCAAAAGGTTGCTGGTTTGATTCCCAGACAGGGCACATGCCTGGGTTGCAGGCCAGGTCCCCAGTTGGGGGCATGAGAGAGACAACCGATCAATATACCGGTATCTCTCACATTCAATGTTTTTTTCCTTTCTTCCCCTCTCTCTGAAAATAAATAAATAAAATATTTAAAAATATTTTAAAAACACATATCTATATATAGTATTATATTAATATTGTCTGCTCTCTGGCTAGACTCTCTTTACTGGCAGCTTCTTGAGGGCAGGGGCTGTTTTGTCGTCTGCATCACCTAGAAGAGTGCCTGATACATCATAGGCTCTCAGTAAATATTTATTGTATGAATTTATTCATGCAATCAATTCTTCCTTTTGTCCCTTGTGTGCCTGCTCAGTGCCACACCCCATGCCAGGCTCTTGGGTTCCTACTGTGATGAAGACGCAGCCCCGGTCTCTGGATACGAAGTCATAATTAAAGAGTGGGAGGAGGGCAAGCTGATACTTTCAGAAACATTATCTCATTTCGTCTTCACTGAAACCTTGTGAGATAAGTATTATTCTTATTATCCAGATGAGAGAACAGCGAGGTAAAGCACCTGCTCCCGAGAGTTCCCCTAGCTAGAAGGTGGTACAGGTGCAGGGGATTTGCTCCATGCTCTTCCCCTTTGGTGACGGTACCTTGCTCTGCCACTTCCTCTCCCAGTACCGCTTGTTGACATCCTTCATCTCCTCCAGGGTCGAAGGCCTTGCGTCCATCTGGGTGTGAACCACAGGCACAGTCAGTAAGTCCGTCTTGGAAGGCTGTGGGGCTAAATTCTTGGATGGATGCTGTTGGAAAACTCTTTGCTTGGCAGGTCTATAATCTGGGGCTGAAGAGAAGAGACAAAGAAAGGAGGGACTGAGAGGGTGCCCAGCCATGGAATCCATCAAGCAGTTAACCAATGTCACCAAGCAAGCACTAGCCCAGCGTCTCCTCATTTCCCACGTGTCCAGTCAGTGCCATTTGCGGTGCACCTTGAAGGTGCCCCTTCTCTCCATCTCCACTATGGCTTCCCTGGTACAGGCTGCCTCCTCCCGCACCTGCGCCAGGGCCTCAGCCTTCTTGTTGTCATTCTCATCCTCTAGCATACCGTTTTCACCAAACAGCAAACAAGACCTTTAAAATACAAAAACCATGTCCTGACTGGGGTGCCTCAGTTGGTTGAGTATCATCCCCCAAAAGCAAAAGGTTGCTGGTTGGATTCCCAGTCAGGGCACATGCCCAGGTTGCGAGTTTGGTTAGGTCACTGGTTGGGGTGCGTATGAGAGGCAATCAATTGGTGTTTCTCTCCCTCTCTTCCTCCCTCCCTTCTCCTCTCTTTAAAAATAAATAAATTTAAAACATTTAAAAGACACAAACCACTTCACTCATTTCCCTTCTTAGAACTCTCTCCTGGTTTCCCATAGCACTTAGACTAAAACCCAGAATCTTCTCCCTGGTCTGCAAGGCCCTGACTCTGTTCTGCTGTCCTCAAAGCATTAATCACTATTGGACATCATCTTGGTTAACCTTTTCTATGAAAACCCATTGAAAGCAGGGATGTTGGCTTCTTCACTGCTGTGTTCTCAGTTCCTAGAAGTGTCTGGCATATAGTAGGTGCTCAAAAAAGATCCAAATTAATGAGAGCCTTCCTTTGCCCCTGCCCTGGTTCGGGCCTGCCTTGTCTCTGGCTGAAATGAAATCCAGGCCCTGCCACCTTCTGGTTTTGAGACAGTGGAAAGGTTGTCGACCTCTCTGAGTTTCAGCTTCCTTCTTGAAAAGCATAACTAGCAGCCCTCATGTCTGGGGACCTGAAGGATAAATTGAGCTAATGCTGTGGGTAAAGCTACCCAGCCTACAGAGGGCACACCCAAAGGCTATCGCCTTCTCTCTTGTGAGCTTCGTCCAGACTCTCCACACTGCTTCCCCTTTAGGCAAAGCAAGAGACTCCCAAGTCTGCTTCCTCTGCTCACTGTGGCTCTCCAGGGAAAAAGAACTCAGCTATGACAGCTGTGATAGCACCATTTAAGCAAATACTTGTTGCTTGGCTTCAAATCTATTTACTGGGAAATAATAGGTCCCAAATACCTTTGCTGCAAATATGCATCATGGCACATCATGGTCGCTCATTGAATGATTTGCAGTCAACTACAGGGATAACAATGAGTTTTGGCAATTTATAATGAAAAGGCCAAAAGAGCATGGGTTGGAAAGCATGTTCAACTCAAGGTGGCCCTGAGGATGTGCCAGACGTGAAGAGCGAGGGAGATTATGACTGCAGAAGTGGTGACAGACCCAGGAGGCCACTGTGAGGGCACTCAGGTTCCCTGGGACTGCAAGGGCAGAGACCCTGCCTAGGAGTGAGGATGCCTCTGCCCAGTGACTTGTTGGGACTAGAGGTTGGCAATATGCATGCTGCGCTGTGAGTGAAGCTCCGGGGGACTGAGGAATGGATGGTCTAAGGGAGCTGCCTGCTGTCCCCAAAAGAACCAACCAGTGAGGATGCTGAGCAACCAGCTCAATATGACTGGACACTCCAGAGGCCCTGCCCCAAATCCTCACTTTCCACTCACCGCCCACCCCTGCTAAGGTTTTTACATAACCTCAGGGAGGACGAGGAGCAACTCCTCCCCAAATATGTCTGAAATTAAATTCCTGCCAACCCGGCAGGTGGAGACAAAGCAAGATTTGATTCATTTAGAAAAAGAAAGATGTGGGTATATTTGGAGAGAGCTCTGGAATGGTAGGTGGTAGTTAGAGAGGGACTGTAATTTCATTTGTAGTTGTTCAATTTTTTTTTTTTACAACAACTAAGCTATGAAGAAGCATGATGCACCCTTGTGTTATAAATTCATACTCAGAGCTATGGCAAATACATTCCTAATTTGCCTCTGTGCTTTGTCTGGACAGATGTGCCTCTAGAAGCACAGAGCTTGGCAAATGGAACTTGAGCTGTGCACAACCTATACAACTGTTCACAGCAGCCTTGCTAATACCTCTGATAGTAGAATACCAAAGTAGATTTCCCAGTAAACTCTAAACATGTGTTAATTCTGGTTTCTGAACTTTAGTTAACTTTTTATCAGTAATGTGCAGATTAGTAGTAAGAAGGCCTTGGATCCACATACAGATAGAGAGGCTTGGCATTTGGATTCTCAGCCTATCAAGTGGGCTTTGGTGGGTTGAAACCACCCTTTGAGAAGCAACCTTTAAGGATAAGGGCTGGGCCTCATCCAGCTTTTAATGGACAAGGTACCCAGCCTGGTATTCCAGAAAACATCTACTCTTCAGTTGATCTCTTGGCCTGGCAACTCCAGAGGCTTGGCCCACTTACATTTCCTGAGTGTGTTCTCCTCGTCAAAGTTGGAGAACACATTCAAGAAATGAGCCAAGCTGCCTCCGCCATGTTTGTTCCAAGGACGGGAAAGTGGAGGCACTGGGGTGGGGTGTGGATACATACAATCCCTTGTAGGTAGCAGCATGCTTCTCTTCTGGGCCAAAACCCACTGCCTGTAGGTGTTGGCCACAATATACTTGGTGATGCTGTTGTTCTTCCCCAGAGAGCTGAGATAGATCACAATATCCTCTATCTCCTGGTTTCCCAGAGGGACTCCAATCTGAGGAAAGAAGAGAAGTCCTCAAAGTAGAGAGACTCCAATCCAAATATCCTACTAGGACAGCCAAGGCCTGGTAAGCCCGGCCCTGCATTTCAGTCTGGTTTTATTCACAGCCACTCCCAGCTCACATTCAAGGTCCCTGCCACAGGAGCTCAGAGCCCTTTCCTGGCCCTGAACACACCTTGCACTTTTTCACCCTCCACCTTTACTCAGATATTTCCGTTTTGATGCCTGAAAAACTCCTATCCCCCCTTCAAAATCCAATCCAAATATGTCATCATTTTTGCAGACTCTGTTACTTCTTACTCTGGGCTCATACCAAACTCAATCCCAGCTTTCCCATGGCGGATTTGAAGGAGGATTTCACTTGTCAATTATCCTTGTCTATAAGGGACACATAAGCCTCCCTTAACTGAAGGAAAATAGGATCAGAAATACAGTACGTGTTAGTCTTTTAAAAAAGACTAAGCAATTTTGGAGGAGTATAGTGCTTGCCAGCTGTATCGAATATTCAAAAAAAGTTTTAAAGGAAATATAATTTTGTTCTTTAGCTTCTTTAGACGGCAGTCATTGTTATTACATTTTCTTTAAAGAAGATCAGAATTCTCCAGGTATGAAAGGATTTAATGTTTTATCTTCTTGGTTATGATGATTAAAGACTGTTTATCTTTTTGTTGTTTTTAATGCTTTGAAATGTTGTTCAGACAAGTACACATCGTAAAATGATTATGTGAAAACTGGTGACGATTTAAAACCATCAAAGCTGTGGTAGTCAGCTTCCTAGAAATATTTTATAAGGTATCCTGTGTGTGAAGTATATAATTCAGCCCTGGCCAGTGTGGCTAAGCTGGTTGGAGTATCATCCTATAGACCGAAAGGTTGCAGGTTTGATTCCCAGGTGGATATATACCCAGGCCACGGGTTCGATCCCCAGCCTGAGTGCATACCCCAGTTGGAGCATGTACCCTAGTTGGGGTGCATATGAGAAAGCAACCAATCAATGTTTCTCTCTCTCTCTCTCACTTTTCCTTCGTCCTCTCAAAAAAAAAAAAAAAAAAAAAGAGAGAGAGAGCAATAAAAAAATGTTCTCAGTGAGGATAAAAAGAATTTAAAAAGAAAAAAATTTTAATTCATTCAGACAGGGGTCAGTAAACTTTTTCTATAAATGGCCAGATAGTAAATATTTAGGCTCCATGAGCCATATGGTCTCTGCCATAACTACTCAACCCTGCCATCATACATGAAAACAACCCTGACAACCCATAGATTAATGAGTGTGGCTGTGTTCCAAAAGAACTTTATTTACAAAGTCAGGAAGCAGCCTGGATTTGACTCCTGGGCCATAGTTAGCAGACCAATAGACCCTCATATCATGATGGATGTGTTCTCCATCAGTGTGGTCTGAAAGAGGAACTGGTCACCACATGTGACTAGTGAGACCTCAAAATGTGACTGGTGTGACTGAGAAATTGTATTTTTAATTTTATTTATTTATAATTAATTTACATTTTGAATAGCCAGTGAAAGTATGGCCCGTGGACCAGTAGCATGGGCATCACTGGGAGCTGCACAGAGTTACTAAGTCAGAAGCTGCATTTTCACAAGACCTATATGTGATTCATATGCCAGTGACAGTTGGAGGAGCTCTAGAAGGTTCTCGAGGCAAGGCTGAAGGCCCAGCACTGAAGGCCCAGCAATCTCAGTGCTCAGTTCTGGGATATGATGGGCAGCTGGCTGGGTATGGGGTCAGCTCTGTAGACTTTCCTCTCAGGGAGGGCTTTTCAAGGTCAGACCGGTGCAGGGGTAGGTTTTAGGGGTCCGATGTGGCTGCAGGTTAAGCCACATTTTCCAATCTGGCTTTACCAGGGATAAGACTGATAGTTTGAGTTCCCTGGGTCTCCTTTTCAGTTGGTCCAGGGCCTGGGTGGCGGCAGCAGTGGGGACTGTATGGACACCCTGCCGACTCAGGCCAGCCAGAGGGAGCACGGGAGGCACTTACCGCCTTCAGAGCCATAATGAACTTCTCCCTGGAGACACTGTCGTTCTCGCTCTGGTCCGCCTTGTTAAATATCTGCAGGATCTTGATCTTGTGACTGTGCAGGTAGGAGTACAAGGCTGACAGGGCGGGGGGCTTAGGCAGGTGAAGCTGGGGCACTGGTTGGTGGGTGGGTTGGAGGTTTTTCTTCTGAAAGAGACAAGCGAGTGAGACAGAAGAGTGAGTTCAGGGGAGGCAGACCAATAGAACATGATCCCCAGAGTTAGAGAGAAATCGGAGAGAGAGAGAGATTGAGCAGCTCTAAACAGACAGCAATATGAAATGTGAAGACCACTGGATTCAGGAAACCACAGGACAACTGCATTCTGCCACAGATCTCCTGGGAGACTTTGCTTCACTGGGCCTCCATTTACCATCAGAAACAAGAGGCTTGAACAACATGAGAGCTAAAATTTCATTCTTCTCTACATCTCTCTTGTCAGACCAGTCAGTACTATAATCCTACTGGGCTCTCAGTGCACCACAACACGTGCCCCTGCCTGGAGCCACACGGGGCTCCCCACTTCTCCCACCTCCCAGCTTTTGCTCCATCTGGGCCTTCTGCCTGGAGTACTTTTCCTTCTTTCTCTACCTGTCCAAATCCTACTCCTCCAATTTCAGGTGAAGGGACAAATTTAGAAACACTCCCTTACCTTGATGCAGCACTTGACAGCTTACAAAGGGCCTTCCTGTTCCCTGGCTCACAGTTCCTCTGCACCCCCGGAGGGTTGGGACCCACATCTATTCATGGCTGGTAGCAAACTGTAGAGTCATTACCCCTCCCAGGGAGGTTTTAAGATAGAGCCACAAATTCTTCAACTCTCCTCCTCTCTAAGATGGAGACTAATTCCCCTCCCCCTGAGTATAGGCAATACTTAGTGACTTGCTTCTGACAAATAGGATATAGCGGACGTGATAGTGTGAAGCTTCTGAACCTGAACCCTCTTGAGACAGGCTATGGAGGGCAGTGCAGCCTCCTCCTGTCCTTTCTTGGACCATTCACCCTAGGGGAAGCTGGATGTCCTGTGGTGAGGACACTCAAGCAGCCCTGTGGAGAGGTCCACATGGCTAGGAATGGAGATGTTCTTCTAACAGCCATGTGAGCAAGCTGCTTGAAAGCAAATCCTATCTTGGTCAAACCTTCAGGTGGCTGTGGCCTGGGCCACCATCTTGAGATGAAAAGACTCTGAGCCTGAGCCACTGAACTAAGCTCCTCCCAGATTCCTGACTCTCAGAAACAGTGAGACAATAAGCACTTGCTGCTTTAAGTGATTTGGGGGTATTTGTTATCCAGCAATAGATAACTAACACACCTCCCTTTAAGGATTCCTATTTGCTGCTCTGTGAAATGGGGCAAATGATCCACATCCTGGCCCTAACACGCTCATCTGACAAATGGGGCTGCTCACGTTGGTGGCTCCGGTAGTGGTCAGGTGGGCCGTCACCTGGACCTCATGCTCTTTGTGGGTCATGTGTAAGATCTTGGCCTCTGAAGGCGTGAGGCTGGACTTGTTCTGCAACCACCTGTCTACATTGCCAAAGGACTCCAGTTCCTGCCGAAATTTCAACCTCTGGCTCAGCCAGGTTCTTGTATCCTCTGGTGGCTCTTGGATGGTTCTGGCTTGCAGGTCTTTAAAGCTTGAGGTGGGTTGTGGGAGAGTCTGGGGTTCGGGCGTTGGATTGACGGGGGTTGGGCCTTCCTTTCGAGGCAAGATGATGATCCGCCGGCGGCTTTGGGGCAGGTGGAAGTCCTTCTGCTTGAACTGCTTGAAGCAGTGGGCAATGACCAGTTCCGGGTTGAAGACGGGGCCCCTGCTGGCAGTTTCATCATCAACTGAGGTATTAGACTGGCAGAACCCTTGGAGGAAGAGTGTTAACAGGTGAGTTCCTCTCAGGAAGAGGACTAAAGGAGTCAGAAAAGAAACCTGCTTTAGCACCAGGCTAGGCACACGGACACCTGGGTTTTGGGCCTGGCTTTATCATTGCCTTCCTATAATGATGAAGATAATCACATCTAATGTGACTGGGCACTCCCAACTGTGGACAAGATGCTAAAGGCTCTTTGAGTTTCATTTAATTGTCTCAGATCCTACTCTTACTCTACCCACCGCCGGTACTTCTTATTGGCAATCAAAATGATCTTTTTAAAATGCCAATGTTACCTGCTCTGATCATCCAAGGCAGCATAGCACTGTTAGGAGCGGAGGCTTTGACGCCAGAATGCTCTAGTCTGGATCCTGGCCATGCGACTTACTGACAGCATGATCTTACGCCAGTCCTTTAATCCTCTCTGTGTCTCAATTTCTTCCCGTGTAAAATGGGGGCGATGATGCTACCTATCTTAATGAGTGGTGGAGGTGTTTAGAATCAGTCTATTTTGGAGTTGCTTTGTTCATAGTAAGTGTGCCCTTATTTTTTTTATGTATTTGCCCTCTATCCATTTTGACTTCCCATAGCCCTCAAAATAAAGTCCCATGACCCTCCTTTGCTACCTTCCCCGCCTCATTACTTGCCCAGCTTTCCTTACTACGTCCCAGAGGCCTTGACTTTCTCTCCGAATAATCCCTGAATGATCCAAGCCCCGTCCTGCCTAAGGATTTTGCACATGCTGCTCCTTCCCCCATGCATCCCCTCCTTACTCCTCCTCATCCTCCAGACCTCAGACCAAATGTTACCTCTCCAACTCCCAGGCTCCTATGTTATCTCTGTATAACACAATCCATACTTTTCCTTAAGACCATTTACCACAAGTAAATGTAAATGAAGGGTTGTGAACTGGCAGCCCTCATGCCTAATGAGGCTTGGGGTCCTGTTTTATTTGACGTTGTTTAAAATTTTCCGATTTGAGTTACTTCAGCCCTCTCCAGCTTGCCATGGTCCCCGCCATTCCCTGTTGTCTCATATGCAGCTCAATTCTTTCATTAATGTGCCCAGTTCAGGCAGATATTTGTGTTTGAAACCCCTGGTTCGATTATTTGGTTGTTTATTTTTTCCAATAGGTTGTGAACCTCTGGGCCCCAGCATGTCCACAGTTCCAAGTGGGAGCTCAGTAAAAATTTGGTAAATGAGTGAATGACAAATAGACAGACCTAATGGGTTGGTGCTATGATTATACTCATTTTACAGATAAGGACATGAAGGCCCAGGGGGCCCTAGATCATACGGTTGATGAGTAGCAGAGCTAGGACATGGACTCTGGTTTACCTGGCCCAGGGGCTCTGCTCTTAGCCATTTTCCCAGGCTGTCACCTATTCCTGCTAAGTTTCAATCCTTTCATGCCTAAAATGATAGATACTCTGCTCTAGATATCTCCTGAAGCTGTTCTGTAGATCAAATCCATAACAGATATGGGAGTGCTCTAAAATTCAAAGAGATATAACATTATTATTAAAAGCATTGTCACTACCATTTTTCTTTTAAAACCAAAACTCTGCCTAAACCTCTCCATCACTGCCAACTATCTTCCAGAATAAAGTTCAGTCTTTTTAACCTGATCCTGCCTCTAATTTCTCCTTCTCTTGTTACTTCTGCCTCACTTTGTATTTATACCCAAACTGTATCTGACTGTGGCTCCTCCCTAAAAACCATGCTGTTTCCTCCCTGCGGAATGCTCTTCTCTCTTCCCTGCTTCACTTGATTATTTTGTACCGATCCTTCCAGACTCAGCTCAGGCATCATCATCCCCCAAAACCCTTCCCAGACCCTCCCTTGTGGCCCCTCTGTATCCCCACAGCCCCCAGGCTTAGCCCCATAATAGCATTGACCATGTTTCTCTGGGTAAAGATGTGTTCTGAGTCTTTCTTTCCCAACAGCCTGTGAGTTTCCCAATGGTAAGGTCTGTGTCTTAGTTCCCATGTGCCCCCAGTGCCCAGCCTGACACCAATGAACATGCAGTACATTTGTTAAGTCTCTTTACAGTGCCCATGTGTTCCTTTCGTAGACAGAAAATAATGAGTGTATATCAATGTGGACAAAAGCGAGTGCTTCTTAATAACCCATTTATCAGTTCTTTGAGGACAAGATGCTGGACACAACTGAGAATTTAATCATTCATTGTACCAGCTTTTACTGAGAATCACCCAGGGCTTGGCACTGGTCTGGTGCAGATCCAAACAAGCCTGGGCACCCAACTGCACAGAACAAGATGGGGTAGCCAGAGGGATGACAAGGTGCTTTCGGACGAGGGAGAAACACAGGTCATCATGCAGGAGAGTGCATGGCGTGCGCGTTCAAGAATGAGTGGGGTTTCAAGGGGTGGAGGGACCATGGGCAAGATGGGGGGGACAGTGGAATTTGGGGATTTCAGGGGCCACTCAACAGTTTCACAAATTGGAAGCACATTGTGTGTGAAGGGGGAGGTTAATGGGAAAAAGAGTTGGAGTCATCTCAAATGCCAGGTTAAAGAATTTCAAATTTATCTTGTAGTCCACGGGGACACATTTAAAATATGCTCCTCACTGGTATTGCTACTTCCACTTGTGCCCTCCCTACACCCCCAAATCCATAATATACCACAGAAGAGCTATCCACTGTCTGAAACCCCCAATGGCTTCACTGAAACGCTTTTCAGTGCTCTTAGAATACATACCCACCTCCTAACAATGGCCGACAGAACTACCCTTGCTGGGATCCTGCTCCCCTCTCCCTCTCACTCCTTCCCAATCTCCTCCCCTTTGATCTCTTGATCTAGCTGTACTGGCTTCCTTTCTCTGTGTCCAGCTGTCCTAGCTCTGTCTTGGCTCTCAGTTTTGGCATTTGCTGTGCCCTCTGAAGAGCATGGATTTCCCCATGTTCCCTCCCTGGCTGAGCCTTCATCATATAGTTCTCAGCTCAAGTGTCATCCCCACCCTAAGTCACCCTGACCAACCAGTAGAAGGTAGCATGCCTATCATACCATGGAGCTTGCATTCCAGTGATATTTGGGGTCCTGTGTCCATTGATAGGAAAGTGAAGCAGGCTGTTACAATAAAAGAAGTCACTATGTAGTTGTGTGTAGAGACTGCATGAAAATGGTCCCAAGGGTCCTGGCTGGTATGGCTCAGTGGATGGAATGTCAGACTGCAAAGGAAGGGCTACCAGTTCCTTTCCTGGTCAGGGTGCATGCCTGGGTTGTGGGCCAGGTCCCTGGTTGGAGCTGTGTGAGAGACAACTGATGGATGTTTCTTTCACACATTGGTGTTTTTTTCCTCCCCTTTCTCCCTCCCTTCCTCGCTCTCTGAAAAAAAAAAAAAAGTTCCCAAGGGATTGGTGAGGAAAACTCTCAGAGGCTAACTAGTCCCATTGCCTGCCCAGGTCAGGGAACTCTTTCTATAATGCTCCTGGCAGACTTTGCCTCTGTATACCACTGGTGACACGGAGTTCCCTACTTAACATGAGGACACCTAATTCTGACTGCTAAAAAAGACCTACTTACATTAACCCAGACTTTGTTTTCCTGGAATTTCTATTTTTTGGACCCAGTCCTCCCTACTAATGCCTCAGAAAACACATTTGTTCCCTCTTTTTCTGGGACAGCCCTTCAGGTGTCCAGAAACAACTCAACTTTTTTTTTTTTTAATTCTTCCTTTTTTTCCTTAGCTCTGATTAAGCTCTCTCCCTAAGCTGCATTTTATTTCTCTGGTCACTTGTTCTTGGGGCCTTCTTTTCCTACCCACCCTTTAAAAATTGGTGCCTTTCAAGCTTACACACAGGTTCCTCCCCTTTTTTAAAACAATCACCTTCACTCTTTTAAAAAAATATTTTATTTTTTAGAGCGGGGGGAAGGGAGGGAGAAAGAGAGGGAGAGAAACATCAATGTGCAGTTGCCTCTTGAGCACCTCCTACTGGGAACTTGGCCCACAACCCAGGCATGTGCCCTGACTGGGAATCGAAACTGTGACCTTTCTCTTTGCGTGACAACACCCAACCAACTGAGCCACACCAGTCAGGGCTCGCCTTCACTCTTATGTTTCTATAGCTCTCAATACACTGAGGACAAACATACTATTTTTTATGACTTGGAATTATGTCCAACTTTCTACATACAGTTGCTCCTAAAGCATTTGCACCTCAATGGATTACAAGGATCTCAAACTCAACCAAGACTAAACTTGTCTTCAGGTCCCTATCCCCACCGAATCTGGTCCTCCTGGTAGGTTCCCTATCTTTGTGAACGGCACCTCCATTTACCAGGTCACCATAACTACCAACCTGATCATCATCTTTGATTACTCTTTCTCTCTTCCTCATCCAATCAGGCCCCTATGTCTCTGTAATCCCTTCTAGTTTAGCCCCTATTCCTCACCTTCCAGGTACCTCCCACTCCCAACATTCGAGTCTGCCAATTCAGGCTCTGCATCTGCTGATGCTCCCAATCTAATCCCATCATTCCCAGTGGCGTCTTCATCTCTTGGCTCACAAGATCTTTCAGGATCTTATCTCTTCTGACCTCTCATGTCTTTCATCCCCAGCAGTACTCAAACTACCAGCAGTTTCCTGAAGACACTGTGATTCTAAGACTCTGTGCACACTGTTCCTTTGGCCTGGCATGCCTTTTCTCCATTTTGGCTTGGAGAACTCCTTTGTTAAGCTCCAGTGTAAAGATCTCTTCCAGGACCTTGCAACTGTTCCTGCCATCCTCTATATTTAGCAGACCCCTTACTCCTGGATATCACCCCAGGACCTAGCATTCACTCCTTATTCTGTAATTATCTGTTTACCGGTCCGTCTTTCACCTCGGATGTTGTATTGCTTTGCCAAGGACCTACCCCATAGCAGGCTATTGCCAGAAGTTTGAAGACTGATGTTTTTCATGTCTCTTCTCCTGTACCAAACGCATTAATTTCAATGGAGAAATGGGGTGAGCCTAGGCATATGGGGTTGGGCACCTGGTTTCTAAGCCAAGGCAACCTGGCCCACTCCTCCAGTCTGGGCGTGGAAGTCTGAGAAACGTGCACGATCGGTCCCCAACTCCCTGGCAACCCATCACCCAGAGGGGGAACGGCACAATGAGATATGCTCCTCCCTTCCTTGCCCTCACTCAACTTGCGTGCGTCTGCATGGGGCTGAGAACTTCCTGAAGGTGGTGCTGTTCTCGAGAGCTTACCTGGCAGCGACAGGAAAAGAGCCTCGAACTTTTCGTAGGAATAGTCCATGATCAACACACTGAAGGGAGAAAGGTTGTGTGTGTGTGTGTGTGTGTGTGCGCGCGCGCATGCATTTACTTTCGCGGGGGTGTCGAGGTGGCTGAAAAACGGTAATTTTGTTTTGTGAGACTTGAGATTTGCAGAGCCTGGAAGCAGTCTGTTGTCAGGACTACGGACGCCCAGCGCTGATTGGCTGAGCACCACCACTGCCACGCACCCACTGAACACAGCAGGGAGCAGACGCACGGGGACTGAGATCCTGTGGATTAGATTCTTTTCACTGGTCCAGGGAGGGGCGCTAGGATACGGTAGAGGTGCACAGTTCCAGGCTTGGCAAAAGTGGCCCCTGAATCTGGAGTGATAATAAATCCTTGGTTTTCTAGTAAACCGTGGGATCTCCAGCAGGTCTCTATTTTTCCATGTCAGTGTTCTCATTCAAAGAACAGACCCTGTTGTAGGAACCCAAGTGGGTTGTGGCCAAATAGGGCAGCGTTTTTTGGTATGCTTTGTCAGTGCAAAACAGTGTGCCAGGGTTTGGATTCGTGAATTTGTGAATTGGAGTATTAATAATGTACATTTGAATGTCCATCAACTAATGAATGGATAAACTAAATTTGGTCTATTCATACAACGGAATATTGTTTAGTCAAACAAAACAGCCAAACCCAGGTTTTTGATCGTCTTGGTTCTTGAACAATTCAGTCCTCAGCCAAGTTGTTGATGGAAAAAAACGTCTTGGTTGTCTAACAGAACTTCAGGTCTCCATTCTCTACCTGACAACCCTTTCATGCTCATACCTGTGTGATCAGTCATGAGTCTCTCAGGCAAGAAAGGTGATTCGGTTATTAAACAAGTCATTTCTCAAGCAGTTTTCTGGAACAAATTAAGTTTGAGAACCGAAGTTCCACTGTATTGATACATGCTGCAACATAAGTGAACCTTGAAGACATGGTGCTAAGAAGCCACACACTATATGGCCACATATAATATGATTCAATTTATAAAAAATGCCCAGCATAGGCAAATCTATACAAACAGAAAGCAGATTAGTAGTTACCAGAGGCAGGGGCAGAGGTGGGGGAGGGTGGATGGGGTGGGGTGTTGGGGGGGGCACTGGGTTTGCTAACAGGTACAGGGTTTCCTTCTAGGATGATGGAAATGTTCTGGAATTTAATGATGGTTGCGCAACATTGTGAATGTATTAAAACCTTTTTAATTGTACACTTCAACAATGATCATATGAATTTTGTCACGAATTTTGTCTAAATTAAGAAGAAAAACACTTGAGTTCTTACTCTGTGTAAGGTGCCACCTTTATGGAAATGCATTATTTTTGTGACTCCACAACCTGAGGTAGACACTCAGATCGTCCCTATGGGCCACATTCATGTAGCACTTTTGTAAGGCTCCACTTAAGCACTTAGGGGTATTAACTTAATAATCATATGCACCATTATCCCATTCTAAAGAGACTAGGAAACAGGCAGAGGTCAGGCAACCTCATCTGCAGCAAAGGGAAAAAGCCAGGCTTGGCTGTGGCACTCCTGATGGAGACTCTGGGGGAGAGGATTTGACAGCAGGCCCTGCCACCCAGCCACACCCGATGCCCTAAGCTTGGTGAGCTTGCCCTACCCTCCACCCCCAGCTGTGGTCCAGGGTTTCAGATGCCTATTTTCTTAGTTGCAGTATTTGGGGCACCTTGACTCCACACCTTATCTCTTTTGCTCCCCTTAATTATTGTCTGTGCTGTTCTCTCCCCCTGTGAGGGTCTCTACAGGGCCTTTTCATCTTTGTATCCCTCCCCAGCACAGAGCTTTGCACTTAGTGAATGCTACTTTGATGTTTATTAAAGAAAAATGTGACAAAAAAATTACAAAGTAGATGTTTCCCTGTTCTCTGGTCAAAATCCTGTTCCTCTCTAAAAACAAATTTGCTCACTAAAATGGAAACCACCAATTAGCCCTGCAACACACTGCACTTTGATTCTATTCACACACCACCATACAAGAAAGTTAGTTTCCTTAACAACTTATTTATTTTTCACTTATTCAATACATTTAATTTACAAATTATACCTTAAAATGGCGACTGGTCATTGAGACTTCCTAACAGGATTATTTTGGTTTAGCAAGTTCTTTCTAAGGCAAATGTTTCAGTATTTGAGCTATAACATTATGTGTGTTAAAGGTGACATAAAACTTAGAAAAGGTACTGTCCTCCAGCTGAAAGATGAGAGATGGGTAAATGCTTGAGTTTTCACAAAGGGATCAAAGTAACATGCATGAGCTAAAAGCCAATAATACTCTGATATGGAGTAGATATTCATATTAGGTTATCAACTGAATGCTGGGGTCAAATCTCTAATTCCTAAAAGCCAACATATGATGACAAAAGAATCTTATTTTTCTTTGAGATGTTAGCTTTTTTTTTAAAAGTAAACATATTTTTAAAATTAGCTGCCTAACACCTACTGTGCTATTTTTTTACATGTGCCAACACATGATGACAAAAGAATCTTATTTTTGAGATGTAGCTTTTTTAAAGTAAACATATTTTTAAAATTAGCTAATACCTACTGTGCTATCTTTTTACATGTTTAGCTGCAAACTCTTTGATTGCTTCTTCATAAACAATTGTATAATATGATTTTTATGGAAAGAGTACAAAAAGTCTAATCTTTCCTCAAGCAAGGTTGACAGAAATTTGCTTTGTGTCTATCATTCATAGTTTAGAAAATTTTTTTTCACCTTCAAATCAAATTTCATTATTGGAAAAGTCATATACATTTCTACGATTGTTGTGAAATCACAATTTATTTTTTAAAAAAACCTCAAAACATGATATATAGCACGTTCAGTAGAAAAGATCTACCAATGGCACACAAATTAAGAAAACATTAATTAGTTTCTAGTTGGGCTGATTAAAATTTATACACCTGGAAAGGTGGTTTGCTTAATGAAGCTCTGAAGAATCAAAGTGATGTATAAAAAACGAGTTTGAAAATGTCACAGAATTTTAAGGTAGACTTAATTTTTCGTGATTTTCCCAAAGCCAGTCATGATATTTATTTAACTTATGGTCTTCAGGGTGCACCTGGAAGAAATTAGGGAGACAGAGGCCTTATGTAAGTTAGTTAGAAATACATTTTTAAAATGTGCTTTTTAAATATATGGTGGGAGAACATACATCACGATAATATACATGGAAATTATAACCTTATGGGATTCACAAATCACATTTAAAATTGTATCTTACATTAAGATAATTCTTTATAGTTTATATTTTTCAATTTAGTACTGATCTTTACCAGAACCTGGGGCATGACTTAGTCATAACATGAACAAGCCTTAATATGCCACTTTCTAGTAGGAAAAATGGATTAAATGGTTTGCTCAGGTCACAATAAATGGTGAAGAAGGGCTGGGCTGGGCCAGACCTACTAGCTAAGTGCTTTAGGGTGGTCACAGACTAAGAGGACGGTGTAGCAGGCTACCTGGCAGTGCCTACCAGCCAGGTCATCACCTAGATGCCTGTGTACTAGGCAAACTCAATAGAATGGGCAGCTGAAGTAGGACCCAGTTACCACAAAAATAGTCTGAGACTACTAGGAAAAACCCTAGTAGCATTCCAAGCTCAAATGATCACTACTTTTCTGTGGTGTCCTCTTGAAGACTAGTATGATTGTGACAGGAAGAAAACCACATCAGGCTTAGAGATATTACATGAATGGAATGACAGGAACAGGGCCAAGTGACAAACTTCTGGCGGTCAGTCAGAGGCCACACCAAGAAGACTTTATGGACTTCTATCTATAGATCCTCTCCCTGCTGCCAGTAACTGCATGCCCCCCACTGCCCCTTCAGTTTGGAATAAAATCGTTTGCGATTTTAATAGCAAATATGTCCAAGAAACAGTTTTAGCCATAACAGTGGACTTATTCGGTCTCAGAGACAAAATGTGCTGGAGATGATATGGCTGCAAGTGGAGCTCACCTGCTTCCACTCATTGACGCAGAAAATTCGGTAGGAGTCATTGCCGTATTTGCCAATCCCATGAAGCTCAATCGGGTATTTCCACTGCTTTGTCAGATATTCATCTGAGAATATAACAGCTCACATATTAGGCCAGCATCTAGGAATATACTTTCTCCAAATGTGTGGTGATGGGGGGCTGGAGGGGAGAACAGCAGAAAAGGACAGGAAAGAATCTCTCCTAACAACCCCAGTTGTGATTGCTCTTTTTTCTGAGAACCTGAAGCATCTATCTGTCTGAACACCTGCCACTTCCTGACCATTATTATTTTGGGCTAACTCAAAGAGGTACTGTCCTAAGGGCTTTCTTCTTCACTGACTTCTTCCTCTAATTATGCCTAGATAGCTGGACCCAGCACTGGGCAAAGGTTTATTGCCTGGGTCGATGGGAGACTGTGGTTTGGGGCAAGTGGACTGTTTTTAAATGCCTTTGGTGCTTGAGCTGAATGACTTCTATTAACATAGCATCCATGGACATAAAAGTTTAAGGTGTGGCTTTCTTAAATAGGCACAGTTTATGTTTTTCCTTTGGGTATATGGTAAAGTACCTGAGAACTTGATAATGGTTTTTGCTCGAAGTTCGTAGAGACCAATAGGTTTAAGAAGTTCTGACACATCTCTCCAGTCTGCAGTTCTTGCTACCTCAGCTGAAGGATACTTCTCTAGAAACTCCCAAAGCACAGGGATTGCCATTTTACCTGTGATACAAAGATAACTATGTGATTACAAGCCTCCACATAGGCTAATTTAGGTTCAGGTACTTCCTCAACTACAAATCTCTTATAGGCCGCTTTTTTTATTTTTTCCTTTTTAAACCACTGATGAGAAGTAATGACCTAAACTAACAACCACTTCCAGAGTGAAAAACCAACACCAGAAACCTATTTGGTTAATAGTTCAGATTATGCTAAAACCTGGCTCAACATAAAACAGGGGTGGGCAAATGTAGATTTACAGTTACAAGTACACAGAACAGTT